GGCCTCCCTTTTTGGGTTTCGCGATAGTATACTCTTCTTTCAGGCCCATGGGATAAATCTTGGAGGAGCCTTGCAAAGCAGGCGTGACCAGCGCTTGCTCCAGTCACATCCTCCTTGCCCCTGCATGACCAAAACGGTTTTTCAATTTTGTGGGGAGAGGGAATGACGTATCGATTTGCACAGGCTGTGGTGAAACGAAAGCAGCAGGCTGCACACCTAGGAATCAACAAGAAACAGAAGCCCGCGCAATGATACCCAGGGTGAGTTTTGGTCCCTAAGAGCTCTGCTAAGAGCATCGGTCGATCTTGCTTCGATGGGTCTTCCAACCAGCACGTGAGGCTTTTCGTGGGTCTCTGTACTTCCCCTTTGAGGTAACTTCCAGGCATCTCCTTTTTTGGGTGCAAATGTCGCACATGCCATTGGCGTGATGGTTCACAGGGGGTCGTCTAGAGTCCGGGGTCTTTGGCTGACTCCCTATGAGTAGCCTCCCCCTCATGGTTTGGATTCTTTCTTGCTGGCTCCACTTCACTTTTTTGATATCAAGCGAATGTGATGCTTTCTTTCCACGAACCAGGGTTTTGGAAGACTAGCATCACACGGCCTGCTGCCCATTGCTGGAAAGAGGGCAAACGTTGATCATAGTTTTGGACTGTTTGTGGCAGTTTTCTGCGATACCAGAAAGATCCCCTGATCAAAGTGGCAGGGATTGGTGTGCTTTTCTGGCGGAAAAGGCCCCCCTCGGGCCGCAGGCGCGCCAGAGCCTCGGGCGGCGCATGTGGCGTAGCGGCCACGAAAAGGCCAAGGGGTTCCGCTGGAGGGAGGAGGGCAGGTAGGCTTAAGGTCTCCCCAGCAAATCGACCTAAGAAAGAGTCTCAAGAAATGGCACATGACATGAGTGCCTTTTCGCTCAGTTTGATGGAAGAAGAATGGGTTTTGTTTAGGTTCGAATCATTTACCCACTGCCGTCGGTTTTGTTGAAAGGGACGCCTGGCCCCACAGCTTTGTCTCAAAATGTGGCTTACTGCGAGCCACGAAACGAAAACATCGGATGGAGTTACAGTATGATTGGTTTTAGGTTGTTCCCATGATATTCCCTACAGTACTATGAGCAGCAAGGGCTACCCACAGTCCTACTTGCATAGACCTGGCACAGTATCCCGGCACCCAGAACAAGCCGACCTAAACCAAAATCCCACGGGGGGACAACCAGCGGCAGCCCCGAACAAGACCAGGCGATTGGCCCGCCTTCCCAGCACCAGCAGGCCTGGGCCGGGGGTTTGCCAGCACCGGCGTCCTTTGTAGAGTTGTTTCAATCGCTTCCTCAAAAGGCCCCACCGCAAAAACACAATTCGGGCAAGTAAGCTGTTGATGGGGGCAAGAAAGACTGGGTGAAGCACCGCCTTTGAAGTAAAACCACAACCTTTCTGTCTTTTTGTCTCTCCCAAATGCCAACCCCTCATGAACAACACCCACATAAAAGAAATCCTTCCTTCCAGCAATGATCAATCATGTTTAACGTGGCTTTGGCTGGCAGAAGCTCTGCCCTGTTGAGAGCCTACGTTCAAGGATGACAATCTTTTTGACTGGCAAACTGCCCTTCCTTCCAACTAGGCAAGGCAGCTGCCCTGTACAGTACTGGGACCTGCTCTTGTGAAGGTTTCCAGGCGGCCAAGTCAGATGCGTTTTTTCTGTCGCCAACCTTTGACGGACATATCTCACGAGTTGGAAGCTGTCGGAGCACTGTGTGCCAAAGCTTTGGGATTCGATGGAAAACTAACAGAAGACACTGCATGCTGACACGTTGGCATGAAGCAGGGGTTCTACGAGTTGCTATTGCTTTCTGTGGGCAAACTGCCTGCCGGAAAGTTGCGGTGGATCAATGGCATGACAAAGGCACACGCCACGACTGAATCAAGTCTCAGCTGCTGCGGGGAGAGCTGATTTTGGAGCTGGTTTTGGCTGCCTGCCAGCCTTCTTTTGCGCCATAAAGTCACATGGAAAGCAGTGTTTGCGAGAGGCGGTGGCCATATGGTTGGGCTGCCAGTCAAGCGCTGTGCCTGTGCCAATTTGTGAGCTGGTTGCCCTAGCCTTTGGGACCGACTGGAACGAAGCCGCGGCTGTCACCAAGCGAATGACTGAGCAAAGTCAGCAAACTCAACCACCGTCAGCCAAGGGAGGTTGTCCGATCCGATCTTGGCAGGAGAAGGATGATCTCACTTCTGTGTGTGTAAAGCTGCAGCACAAGCCGGGGGCCCACAAAATTGATTTCTCTGAGGTGTTGATTCTTTTTGGCTGGGCTGGCCTGCAAATCGTCATGGGTGGCAGTCCACCCTACCCGGACCCTGCAAGACATTCAAGAAGGGCCGTGTCAGCTGGCCACTGGACAACTCAAATAAGTTGCAGAAAATGATGCTTTTACCAAGCCGTTTCAAAGGTCACGTGAAACCGAATGAAGCCTTTGCTGTTAGGACTCCGGCAAGAATCGGTGAGGGCGCCCTTCAATTCGGCATCTTCAGAGAGAGAGAGAGAGAGAGAGAGCGACAGAGAGAGAGAGAGAGAGAGAGAGAGAGAGAGAAAGAGAGATAGTGGGGCATCACAGGGATGATGGAACCCCGGCTCAGAAACCGGAGAAGCCATCGTCATCCACAAGCCTTTTTAGGTGGTACGGATTTTGACTTCAGGACCATTCTCGCATCCAGAGGGGACCCTGATTGTCATTTTGAATCCCTTGAAACGAACCAACAATGTTTGTATCTGCGCGCGTGCATCATTTGTTAAGAGGGAACTCGGGCATCCCACGCTTGGCAGCTCGCAGGACCCGCCTGGGGGCTCGGGTTTTCTCCCTCCTTGCAGGAGAATCCGGCATGGATCCGTAGGCCCCTCCAACGTTCTGAGCAAATCATGGGGCAGCTCACATAGGTCCTTGACGGAAGATCCCTTACTGAATCAAAAAAGCATAGTGAGTAACCAGGCGTGAGCACCCGGACCCCCAATCGTGGCTCACCCATGTTTGGAACTCTCTAGATAAGTGCTGAGTACCCCTATTGGTTGGGCCGCTACTTTGCCCGGATCTTGCAAAAGTGCGCTCCAAGGCCCTGGTCACGGGAGTCCCGGGCATTTTTTTCCTGAGGCTTGGCAAGCTGAGCACCAAGAAGACCATCTCGCTGTAAGCCGGCTTGCGACGTGATGCACAGCTCGGGGGAAACCGGACCGGCCCGTTGGGCCAACGTTGGGTGACATTCTATATTTTTGCACTCGTTTCAGATTATGAAGGTGAAACATATCCTTACATATCTCACTTCGAAGTTTGCGGTTGAATGTTGGCCAAGTTTTCGTGTTTGCTTTCTTGCTTGCCTGTTTGATTGTTCGCTTATTTGTGTTTGCATGATTGATTATCAGTTTGTTTGTTTTTTTGGGTGCCTTCCGGAGATTTGAAGCTTCCGCCGCATCTTTTGTTTGAAAGTCCAACGCATTGGCGTTGGAAGTCACCTGATTCGCTCGAACTTGTCCGTTCTCTGGCAAGCCCTATGGGCACCCATCAGCTCTCATGCTGAATGAAATGAGGGACGCGCAGATATCCTGGTCCCAGAGTTCCCTGCAGAGGTTCCAACCATCAGCATGACCCCTAGATTAACCTGTTAGGAGTTGTTCGTCTTTGGAACGCGTTTTCCCCAGCTCAGCCGTTGCAGTTTGCTTGCCAGATGTCGTGTGCAGTGGACTGTGACCACCAGGGTCTGGATGAGTCAGGCCACCTCCAACCGATCTTTGAACCCACAAAGCAAAAAGTAGAGGCACACCTGTCAACCACTTCAGGTGGAAGCCCTGCCGCAGATGGCACATTTTGCTGAACAGATGCTTTCTGTTGAATACCGGAACGTTGCGCCGGTGGTTAACCACCGCTTGGCCAGCAGAGGGGCTCCGCTTGCACTTGGCGTGATTGGGTCACACGGGCCAAAAGCAACCTCAAAGATCATTCAGGCAGAGGGCTTTGCCGGGTTTGCCATTCCATGCAGGAATGTCATGACGCTTCCGGGTTTAGCTCCTTCCGTGGCGCACAGTCGGTCATGCTTTCCGGGTGCGTGTGCCACTGCGCACGCCGGCGGCGTGTGCACAGTCGACATCAGGTCAACGCTGAATTAAAGCGCGACTCTGGATTTGACAGATCCAACGCAGATCGCTCCCTGTCCGGCCTGACCCGGACAGCAGTAGTTCGCGGCGAAATTCCCTCAGAGTTGAATGCGCGCGCTCTTAGATAAAATCCGCGTCCCTTGCTGCTTTGCTGCGACTTCAGGGGCAGGGCTTTTGTTTTCTTGATGGGAATCTGCATCGCCAAAGGTGCAGATCCTTGTTTGAGCCAGTATGCTCATTCTACCCCCGCATCGCTTTTGTGACGAAGGCGGCGCCGCGGCACTTCCATGGTTCTGCACATATTGATCATATTGCTGGGGGATCGGGCTCGCCTGCGTAAAAAGAGCTCACCCATGATGAAGGTCCCTTACTTGGGAATTCAGAATTTCCAGTTGGGAACTAGTAAATTGCCAGGACGCTTCATGCGCTGGATTTGGCGCCCGCTGGCTCAACGTGATCGGATAAGATTCGGCCAGCGGCAGCACTGACAACGGTCACCCACGAGAAAGAAGAAGACTTACCCTTCCACCCATTAACATAGAACCTGCTAGGGGGTCCCTTTGAAAGGAACATGGTCTTCCAGGCCCCCCCCCCCCCATCAGGTTCCATGTTAGTTGGTGGGAGGGTTGCGTCAAGCTTGCCAATCGGCATGGTCTGATGGCCAAGCTCGAGCAGCAGGATGAACCAACACTAAGGCATGTGATGGGTTGTTCAAGCATGCCCCCACCCCCCAACCTCCCAGAGAGCGGAGTCTCAATCTGCTGATGGCTCGCCTCCTCTATTTACCACCGACTGTTGAAAGGCCCACCATCCTTCCGGCCACAAACAGCCACACAAAGCAAAGACACACACAGAGACATCAGACACACTCGACTGCTCTCAGTCCCAGTGAGCCGCTCCTGTGAGCGCCATGTCGCCCTCAGCTGGACCTGGAGCAGCGCTCAGCGCTCTGGCAGTAGGGGGCGGCAGCGAGGCCGGGCATGTCGGCGGTTGTTCGGGGTCCAGCTTTAGGCGGCCGGGCTTCCAGCGAATTAGCATTGAGCCCGAACAAGCTGCCCGAAAACCAGGGTCTGGGGGTTGTCTTGATGCCCCCATGAGTTGCTCAGGGCTGTTCGAAACGAACCCGATGTTGGTGCCCAAACGTCCGGCCTTCTCTGTCTGACGGGGATGTGTTCGATCCTTGCGGCGAGAACCTTGATGAGCTACACGGGTTCTACCAGGATGCTCCACGCGGGTGATGGCCTATCCAAGCGTTTGTCTCCGCCCTGGCAGAATCTAGATCGGACAATCTGAGCGCTACTCCCTCCAAGCGAGGCTCCAAGTTGGACTGGCCTTGGCGCCTGGACAACAAATAAAAGGTCTGGACAATCGTCCCAAACTCAGATTGGTTGACAAAGGACGTCTTCTCCATCAAAATCGCAAAACAACACGTCAATACAACCTTGTTGGTTTTGAACCAGGTCCCAGGGCCAGCTAAAACAGTTAAAGATCCATGCTGCCATGTTAGGCCCATTCTCTTAAACTTCCACGGGCGAGCGGGTATTGCTCAAGACACGTGTTGTGTTTTTCTGTTAGATGGCAAGCAAAGGATGATGAGGGCTGAGGGCATATTTGAACGTCCTCCCTCCCAAACTCAGATGCAGGGGCTGTGTGCCCGCATGGAAACGCCAGGAAACCCCAAAATGGTCGGTTTCAGTTGATACCCACTAAAGAACCCATCAAAAGCGGTTCCCAAAACCAGATAAACCCAGGTGCCTGTATGTTTCTTGTTGAGAGGTGAACCCAGGCTTGGCCGCCTCAGCTTCACTGCTGCACTGCTTGCCGGCCCCGCCCGTGCGCCCATGCCTTCCAGGCGGTGATCCGTGGCGAACTTGTGGAGGTGCCGGGCCCAGAAAGAGGACCTCAAGAGGTCTGTTGTAATGCCCTCTTGGGGCCAAGAAGAAGCCAGCCGTTTAATTTTGCGAAGCCCAAGTGTGGCAGTAAGGGCAAGCAAGAATCACATTACCCATCGCCGCTCGTGGCGAACGCCCCCTTCTTGTTTCTTGAGCTGACATTGCTTTGGGTGCAGGCCGCCGAGTCGTGATTTACCCAAGTGTGTTCCATTGAAAAGTTGAGCCCATGGTGACACTGGACCCCTTCCCTTGTAATTCACTGTCCTTGCGTTAAGGAGTACGCGGTTCGTGCCCTTTTGACGGCATGAATATCAGCTGCTATTCGGAATGTTCAGTGCCCTGCCAGACTTGAAGAAAAGATGAAAACGCAGCTTCCAGCCAGGATCGCTAAAAGGATGAATTCTGCTGGCCATGTTGAATACCACATTTTCCCACTCCTTGCAGAATCAGATGATTTCTAGATGATGTTCCTGGATGCATGGGGCATCTCCCATGATTCACAACCGAAACTGTTGTTGCAGCCCTTCTTTTGTCACTTTTGTAAGTGGGGGGGTGCCTTCAGGGGCCCGAGGGCCCAACCTTCGTGGCGCTGCGGAGGCCAGTGGGGCGCAGAGGGCATACATTTTGGGCTTGCAGGGTTCTCCGCGTTGCCCTAGGTTTAGGCAAGCCAGCCCCCAGCCTCGAGCCTGGCCAGGGAAAGCTTGGGACAGTGATGCCAGAGGATTCTTTCTTTCGCACAAGTGCCGCTCGCTGGCGTGGAGCTTGAACCTTTTGCTTGCGTTCTGCAAGGTGTCACTTGACCTCTCTATTCGCAAGGTTTGACGCATTTTGTCATTCGGAGTTGTTGTCGGGGGTTTGTTTGCAAGCTCTTCTTGAAGCCCACGTCATCTCTACTCAATGAGTCATTGAGAGCAGGTTTGCTCGGCCATATTGTGTGACTGGGGGACCTCCGGATTTTCCGTTGACCAGGCTTCGGCGCACCACTTTGCCCCCTCAGCGCAAGCAAACCTCGGAAGCGTCGGGGGCCTCGCAGGCTCCGCTGGGGCACGCCCATTCTCACGGAGCGGCCGCTGCTGCTGGCCTCGCCGGCGCTGTTTGAGTACGTTTCTCCCACGGAACCTGAGGGATGGCAGGAAGGTACCCGGTGTATTTCCTCGAGCGTTCTACAGCGGTGGGGGGGGGGGGGGGCGGTGATGTTTGGGGGCACCGCTGCGCAACCCCGACCAACAGTTGCCCATTGGCCTTTAAACCATGACATGTTTACAGCGGTAAACTGTTCACATACACGTACATACCCGCACGCACATATGCGTATATACTTGTATTTATATATATGTATATATATATGAAGTATTGCCCAGTCGTTCTGGGTTTCATGTTCCTATGTGAGCAAGACTGGATACATGCAAGTGGCGACCCTCCCCCTCCCCCTGAAGCTGATGGCAGAAGAAACAGCCAAACCAACCTGTTCTTATCTTTGGCTCCCGATTCTCGTCAATGCAACAAGATGGTCACTTTCGGTTCCAGCTCCTCCGGGTCACAAGTAAGCTGCTGCCTGTGCGGGCCTCGTTGGCCGGCAGCCTGTGCTGCTAGGTTGAGGCGGACACGGACCGTGGGCGACCCAAGGGCGGCATGTTGGTGCTTTGGATTTCGGGCGTAAACTTGCAGCCCCGTTGTTTGTTTTGGAGGGCAGCTGGGCTCATTCGAGTGTATGTTCGTTTCGGGGGGGTCGTCAGAATATGTTTTGGATGTGGATGTCTTTTCAAATGTCATTGGAAGGGCAACCCCAAAGCGATCCAGATCCCCATTCTTCGGAACCTGACGGATTCCGAACCGAAACCTGGAGTCTCACCCCAGGACCCTTCATTAGGCACCCACTATTCTCGTTCGTTCAAATCGGGTGGGCAAAAGCGGCAGTTTTGTGGATGGCTTCCAATCTTCAGGTGTGAGGCTTCGGCCGGTCCGGTATGAAAGGGCCGGCCGAGAGAGGCCACTAACTTTGGGTGAAACAGAAACAGGTAGCCTGCAAGAACTTCCATCTGCAAGAAGGCGACCTACAAAACGAAAACGTGATGAAACTTATTCACTACTATGGGAGCCATTTGAGGGTCCCATTTGAATTGATACTGCCCCTGATGCTAGGTTCCGTCCCTGGCAACATGGGCTTCACAGAAGCCAACCACAGGACGAAGCTAAAGGAAACAAACATATCTTTGGGGCGGGGGAGGGGGGGGGGGTTGGCTTGTTAGCCGCTGCAGCTTTGGCTTTCTGTTACACGGGGTCCATGGTCTGGGCGTTCGTCCCGAGGTTACCTCCGGGCGGAGGGCGCGGATCCCCGCTTGGCCGAGCTCGCCGAAGCGTGCGGGCCTCGAAGAGTTGCCCTGAGATATTGAGGAGTGTGGCCAATGCATACAGATTTAGAACGTCTATACATATATGGTGTGCAGCGAAGCGTGGCGTGTTTGTTTTTGCGCTTGTGTGTGTGTGTATGTGTATGGGCAAGGTGGGGAAAGACATGTCTACAAACAGACATATGTGTATATATGCATGTATGCATAAGTGCTCATACAAACATGGCGTAATGAGCGTGAACAGGAATTGGGGCTTGATTAGGTGCACTTTCAAAATCCTGCGTGTTCTGGAAAACGGGGACAAGGTAGGGAACCCTCAAAGGGTCCTGTTTTCCCGCAGGCCTGTCCGTTTCACAACTGGGTTGCCTTTGGGGTTTCATATGGATCTTCAGGAGGGTCAACAAAGCTCCTCACTTCCTAATACTTTTTGTTAACGTTGTTTTTTTTTGCGGGAAAGAATCGTTTCGTCTTGTTCGGGAGCAATCCACCCGGGAAGCAACTAGAAGTTGTCCAGCTGGCCGACTTTGGTCTCTGCTCCATGGCAGCCCGGGTGAACCTCTTGTTCTCTTGTTTGGATTCTAGGTTTAGGACGGGTTGAGTTGCAGTTGGTACATGGGCGCTGTGCTTCGTTTCTCGGATCTGCGGCCGGTCAGCCTTGCTATGCCTTGCGGGAGTTCACATTGGTGCCGGGGCGTAGCCGGCGTGGCAACTGCAGATGAAGTCCTGGGTGTGAGCTGGAAGCATCATGCACAGAAGTTCTTTCCTATTTATCAAAGGGAGACCGGCATATCTTGCTTTGTGGAGCTTGCTTGCGTGTTTGCGTGTTTGCTTGTTTGCTTGCTTGTTTGCTTGCTTGTTTGCTTGCTTGCTTGCTTGCTTCGCTTTTGCGCTTGCCCTTGGCAGTGCCTTCTGAACCCTCTGTTCCCTATATTCTCCCTGTTCAACCACATCTATTTCAGAACGTGCCCCCCATCCTATCCCCGTTTTATTTGGATGCCATGTCTGCGCATTCAACCTGCTTGCATTCGGCCAGTGCCCAGCTCATTCCTCCCCTCACATGAGGACTTCAGCCTAGTCCTGTGTCCAGGTCTTCGGGACCAGCTTTCTCTCTCTGATACTAGTCTCTGGGAAAAAGGACCCCTTGAGGAGGGCTTGAGTCGTTTTTCGGTGCCCGCATTTTCAACCAGGAGGGTGGGGGTGGGTGGGGCGCATATTTGAAGCAGGCCTCAGGTCTCGGCTCTTTCTGCTTGTCTGGGCCCAGGCTCGGGGACGCCACACGGCTTGCGGCATATGTGGCATTCCGGCAGTCTGGGGCCCAGAGTATGCCTTGCAGGCCCTCGAGCACAGGAAACGTGCATAGCTACTTGGTTGATATGCCTAGAATTGCCTGCGTGCATTGTTTGCAGCCTGTGTGCATGATTTATGGGCACACAGGCACACATGTAGATGCACACGTGATATGACATCAAAATGCACAACATCACGTTGATTGCACTACACTGCATTACATTTCGTTACCTTGAAGATGTTGGTCTTCCGCCCCGCTGCGCACGAAGTTATCGGGCTGCTTGTTTTCCACTGGCCTGGCTCTGCTGGTGGCTCAGGCTGCGCATGCCATGATGGCGGGGCCGCGGCCGAGGTTTCAGATGAAAGTCCCGCCCTTTGGGCAGGTGGCGAATTGGGCCGAAAGGCCGGGTGGTTACAACCAGGCCGTACATGGGCTTCCGGAGTCGCATCAGGATGCGCGAGTTGGTGATGCCAAGGATGTTCCGTGCGTCAGCCGGGAGTCGAACCCACAAGGTGCGGTGAAGAGCATGTTCGCGTCCTTGGAGAAATGCGGTGGAGATGTCTGTCGTGAAGGTGCCCCATCCGTTGTTGGCCGCGATGGAGAGGATCATGCCACGCGTGAGCCTCGTCACGGTGGGCGAGGTGCGCTCAACAATCCCGCTGAGGGCATCAGGGTTTTTGAATCCCTGCGTGATGAGCCGGGCCTTGGCACGTGGACTGCCGTCCTCGTTCTTGCTCCACTTCAGAATGAAGTGCGCGCGCAAGATGCGCTGTGCCGGAGCTTCTGACTCATCTGAGAACTCCCACACCTGGTTCTGGAAGAAGCTGGCGAGCTCCTTGCGCTTGGTTTCGATGAAGCTCTGCTGATCTGCGGGGCTCATGGTGCGCTCGGAGAGGTTCTTGGAGTCCTTTTTCCGCTGTTGTGGAGAGCCGGCATAGGTCTGGTGACCTTCTGACGTGTTGAAGAAATGCTCGTGTGCCCGTACTCGGTCTCGCGGCTGAATCTTGAAGGAGGTGCGTCCTGTCCAATAGATTTGCTCGTCGAGGTGGTTGGAGCGGCAGCGCCAACGATCTTGTCGTGATTGGCCGTCTGCGAAGCGAGTTGTTCGGGACTTGTGGAGCATGGGTAGGGGAATGGGGCAGTTCCCATCCTCACTTGGGTCGTAGAGCGTGTTCCGAGGGATGTAGTGGTTGGGGATGAGGTAGCTGCCATTCTTGGAGAGGGTCCAGTCGTCGTGGATGGTGTCCAACACGACGTGGCCGGAGGCGTCAGCGTGCCACCCTGGTGGGAGAGGCATGCTGTTGTCGCTGGTGTCGTCGACAATGTCGACCTTGAAGGAGTAGTCTGCGGTCTTGTCGGGTGGTTGTTGTTCATATGGACCAGGTCGTTGGCCACGGCGATGGCTGGGGCCGTAGGAGATCGTTTCCTGTCGGTCTACCCGTCGCCGCTGTTCGTGGAAGGATTCACGCTCGGTCTTTTTGGTAGAGGTCGAAGTCGGTAGATGTGCTTGTTGTCGGGGCTTGAGGTCCGTGTGGAGGAGATGAAGCTGGTTCGGGTTCTGCCGATGGTTCGGCAGGGTTGTGGCCGTTTGTACCTCGCGATCCAGAGGTCAAGCTCGGCTCAGCCGTCGGTTCAAAGCGTAGGTTCGGTCGTGGTAGGTGCTGGTGGAGCTTGTGAGTTGCCCATGGTCACATCGCCCTTGTTGTTGACCACGACGAAGCGGGTGCGACCGATCCATGGGTGTTGGATGTCGAAGTGCGAGTCGAATGGTTGGTGTTCTGCTTCGGAGGCAGGTCGGCCTGTGTCAGATGCCAGGCGGTAGATCTCGGTGTGCCGGAGGCTTCCGAGTCGGTGGTATGGGATGTCGGGGTCGTCCGGTGATGGGCAGAAGAGCTGGTGTCGTGGAAACTGATGGACCCGGTCGAAGGTCAGTCCGTCAGGAGCAGGCTCCCAGTAGTCGACCAGAGGTTCACAGAGGTCCGGAGATGGTCGCTTTGGGTCCGGGTCAACATCCTCATCATCGGAGACCACATCGTCGATTTTGCATGTCCACCTACAAAGGCTTCACCCCGAGCCAATGGGTACTAGGCTACCAGCCTCACCTGCCAGGCCAACTCGTTGAAGAAGGCCTCAACCCTCCAACCATCAGAGAAATTCCATGAAAAGCTACAACTACAGCTCAAAGCAAGTCAAGCCATCCTCGCCGCCGATGCCGACGCCCGACTCGGGCGAGCCCTTCTAAGACAGTGTCGCGGCAACTCCGAGCCCCTCACCATCGGCATGAAAGTCTACTACTCCAAGATCAAATGGAAGGGCCCGGCCACCATCGTCATGGTCGAAACCGACAACGAGACCGGCAAGCCCCGGTGCGCTTGTGCACGGATCCAACCTTCTCCGTGCAGCCCCCGAACATGTCTGACGGACTTTCGAGGACATGGCAATTTCCGACACCGAGCCACGGAAGATCATCCATGGACCTCCGAAATCGAGGAACCACCACCTACGTCGACCTCTTCCGATCCAACAAGCGCGGTTGAGGGCCGGGATGGTGAAGTCGAGGGCGTCCTTGAGGCCTTCGATGCTGTCTCGTCCGGTCTCAGCAATGAAGATGTCGATGGCTTGGCGAAGTACTTGGTGTCTCCTTTCGAGGAGAGTCAGGCGCTCGTGCGCCTCCCCAGGGCTGATGATCAGCTCGATGGAGTCGCCAGTCCACTGTTGGACGAGGTCGGCGCACCAGTGTCAACTTGAAGTTGCTGGGGGGATCCAAAGGTTCGTACCCAACCTCGTTGCACAGCGTTGAGGAATTCCTGGCTGGTTTCTGCTGGAAGAACTCGAGCGGACATGGTGAGCACCGGCGCTGGTTTTCCTTGAGCTTGGATCCACAGGGTGTCGGCCTGTAGGCGCTGGTTGAACACGAAGGCGGTCCGAGTAGTGGATTTCGGTGTCTGCGCCGGCTTGGCGTAGCGATTGCAGAGTTCGCATTGGTAGTCCTTCACCGCAGGGATGACAGCCTCGGATGCTCCTCTGGCTTCAAGGAGTCGCAGGAGTTCGGCTTGAGTGGGATGTCCGAGGTTCCTGTGCAATCTGGCTACCAGGCGCTGGCTTTCAACCGTTGTCGTGTCGGATCTTCTGAAGGATGCCGTCCGGGTTGAGGCGCTGATCGTGCCCATGAGCTTCGCCCGGCCGAGCTGCTGCACCTGGACCGCGCCTACAAGCACACGACCAACCTAAAGTTCACTCGCCGTGTGTATCTCGGCGGGCGGCAAGCCTACATCGAGCAGCCCCTTTGGTCCCTGGCATGGAACACCACCGCCTTTCAACTGGACGGCCATCGCGCCATCTTCGATCAGTGCGCCTACGGCGCGGGTTCCGTGCTCTCCACGGGGCCGATCTTCGCAGAGATCCTGAGCCTCAAATGCCCTTGCAACCACACACACGTACATCTACAAGGTCACTGCCCTGGCATCGGAAGACTTCTTGCAGGGTGGCGCGAGCCAGACCGCATCCGGGAGCTCCTCATCGAGCAGCTGGTAGAAGGCTTTGGTGCAGTTGGACTTCGTGAAGTCCCACTCCGGGAGGTCGAAGGTGCGGACGATCCAGCCGCGATCAGCCATGGCCCGAGAGAGCTTCCCCTCCCAAGCATAGACTTCCCAGAAAACCTTCTTGCCGTCCGGCTTGTGCTTGGTGGCTTGGTTGAGGTGGAAGTTGACGTGGTTGTGCCATGTTGCAAGAGCAACATCAAAGCTGCGCCAGATTTTGTTGGGGATGTCGCCGAGTACCGGTTCCGTGACACCCTCGTGGAGGTTGAAGTCCGGGGCGTCATCGGTGGGCAGGTTCTCAGGCGTAGTGCCATCAACGTGTTGGGCGATTTCAGGCAGGATGGGTCCAGGGCGACCCGTGTCCATGATGTAGTCCTCCAGGGTGCAGAGCTGGAGTAGGTGAAGGTGAGGTCGTGGTGGATGGCGTCCTCGATACCGTCGTCGGTACTCGCCCAGTGTCCCTTTTGTGGCCGGCTGCCAGGGCTCATTGAGGACGCTGCAGGACTGCTTGGCATAGTCGATCTTGACCTTGAGGGCTTCCAGGACTGGGCGTGCGATGAGGAGGAGGGGTGTACCTCCTTCCACGATGAAGGTCTGGATGCGGCCTTTGTAGCCGGCCGTGAACACTGGGAGGTGCACAGATGCTGCTGTTGTTGGTTCGGCCTCGAGGGGGAGGCCCTTGTGGTAGAGCTTGGTGAGGAGCTGCATCAGGACGTCATGACCGTATAGGACGCTGGACGCTCCGCCGTCCTGCGTGCCGGTGATGTAGGGCTGATCGACGTGGTCCTCGAGGTAGGCGGTCTCCTCTTGGGCAACCATGCTGTTGGCTGGTTTCGGCCGCTTGCTCGGGGAGTTTGACTGGGAGTTCTGTGGGCACTGAGCTGCCCAGTGGCCCGGTTGGCCACATCGGAGACATTTTTGTGCCGGGTGGAAGGGCATCGCGAGTATGTTGAGATGCAGATCCCTTCTGGGGCGGGCGTCCTCCGACTCCCTTGCCCTTGCTCTTGGAGTGTTTTCCCTTCGAGGATTTTCCTCTGCTGCCATGTGGTGGTAGAGATGATGAGGTGGAGCTGACGGGCAGGGCGTTGGTGTTGGTGAGAGCGATCACCGGGTAGTACCCTCGAGCGCTGCGATGTTCAGCAAGCTTCTTTCGGGCGTCGATGTAGGTGGCGTAGGCCTCCTCTTCGTCCTCGTCGTAGGTGTACTCGTGGTCTTCGTCGAAGTAGATCTCTTCGTTGAAGTCTTGTGGTTGTTCCTCTTCGGTGGGTTGATCGGGGTAGGTGTTGTTGTCCTCGTCCTCCCAGTAGGTGTCCTCCTCGTCGCTCGCTCTTGCGATTTTGAAGGCTCATCTTCCGGTAGTAGAGCATGATGCGCATCCGGTACTCCTTGTTGTTGTTGGGTCTTCCATCGAAGACCGGGATGAAGTTGTCCCTGACGACTTCGTTGGAGTGGCCGGAGGCGGTGCCGCCATTCATCGGGCTTGGTGCCTTCGCTGAGGATGCCATAGGGGAGCGTGAGGTGCGTGGTGGGCTCTGGTGTGATAGAGATGTCGGTATCCGCGAATCGCGGCTGCGCTACCAACTTGAAGATGTTGGTCTTCCGCCCCGCTGCGCACGAAGTTCTCGGGCTGCTTGTTTTCCACTAGCCTGGCTCTGCTGGTGGCTCAGGCTGCGCATGCCATGATGGCGGGGCCGCGGCCGAGGTTTCAGATGAAAGTCCCGCCCTTTGTGCAGTAGCGAATTGGGCCGAAAGGCCGGGTGGTTACAAACTCATGCCAACGCAAGTTTCGGGACGAAAGCTTCACAGTTACTTTATGCATAAGCATGCGGACATACGCTACAATCACTCATGCCTTCCTGCATGCATGCATGCCACGAGCAAAGGAGCACGACAAGAGTAACACTTATGTTATGTTGCATTACATTACAATGTGCCACATTATGCTACCGCTTACATTGCAGAACAGTGTAAACAATACATTTCACTTGCGTTGTGTAGCAGGACAAGACACGACACTACATCTGCAGCACGTTGCAGGACAGAACATCACATTAAATGCATTACCCGACAGGACAGACACAACATTGCATGACACATACACACATGCATGCATACATGCATGCGTTCATACATTCGCACAGGCAGACAGACACAGACACAGACAAAAACACATACACAGACACACACACACACATACATACATACATACATACATACATACATACATACATACATACATACACACAAACAGACAGACAGACAGACAGGCAGGCAGGCAGGCAGGCAGGCAGGCAGGCAGCCAGCCAGACAGACAGACACACACACACACACATACACACACACACACACACATGCATGCATGCATGCATACATACATACATAGATACACACCCATACGCACATACACATACGCATACGCATACCCACACAGCCGTACACGGGCACATGTTCACAATCAGACTTACATTTACTTTTGCCTATGAATATGCATATGCACACAGGCATGCACACATGCACGCAAAAACACACACACACACATGTGCACACACACCTGCACACATACATAAGTGCACATACACGTACAGAGATAAATGCACACGCATGGATGCAAACATACATTGAAACACGAACATGTACCTCTTCATATGCTTTGTGCTTGCGGAACAGGTTTATGATCGAGACGCACACATGCATGTGTCTTCTTGGAACTGCGAACATACATGTAGTCATACATGCACCATGCATGTACTGATTTGCACTCATAGATGTAGTTGCATGCGCATTTTTTCATGAACAGTGTTGTTTTTTAATTTTCATAGCATGGCCTAGCTCCAGTCATGAGAAGAGGATTGATGGGTACATATTCATTTCAACTGGTCTGCCCAACGGGTTTTGAAATACTGGTTCGTGCAACGGGTCTGGACTTGGGAGGTTCGGGTTTTTTTAAGTACTGGTTCGCCCAACGCGTTTGGGGGGGTCCTGGCTGGTCCGCCCAACGGGTTGTGCATGCACACAGATGCACGGATGCCTACTTACATAGATTCCTATTGACATAGATACACAAGTGTATAGATAGTTAGAAACATTGATGCGTATATGCGTAGATACTTAGATACACATATACGTAGATACATAGATACATAGAACCCCCCCCCTTTGGACCGGGGCGGTGCCCATTTCTGTGGGCCAAGGGCATAATGCGCCGTGTGCAGCTCACAGGGGGGACCGCTGCCTGTGCGGTTGCTGGAGGAGGCCTCCCTCATTTGCTGCCGGTGCGCGCGCGTGCGGGACATAACCTTGCGATGCTCAAGGTTGCCCCCTCTGCAAGCTGCACGTTTCTGGGCCTAGTACTGCAGCGAGGGATCGGTGCGGGAAGAGCCTTTTTTGGTTGCCTCGCTGGCTAGGATGTCACGCCGTCTTGCCCTGATGCTGGCCCGTCTGCACGGGTGCGGGTGGCGGGCCTGACTAGCTCGTGGGGCTCCAAGTTGGGAAGCGCCTGTTGATTGCGGGCTTGCCGTGACGCGCACGCGTGCTTGCGCTGAGCAGGGTCCCAGCCCTGAACCCCAGGTTTGTCCTGTGGGGGATGCTGGTTGGAATTGGCTGAGTGCACCCAAGCCATCCTCACACACACAGTTGCATAGAAACATAGATACCTGCACACATTGATCCATAGCCAGACAAGTTGATGGATGGATGGATGGATGGACGGACGGACGGACGGACGGATGGATGGATGGATATATGCAGTAAATGTACATGCCTGCACATGTCCACGTTCTGATAGACAGCTCTAAACTCAAGTTTTGACAAGGGGCTTGGCGCATACATTTTTGCTGCGCACATGCAAATGCAGAATTTGACATTCCTTGCTAATATCTTTTCCAGACTCGAATATGTTGTTGCCAAAAACCGGTACGCACGTGTTTACACGCATAAATGCCAACCTTCAATGATTGACATGCACATTTTTTCGCATGCCCAATTTGCGCACTTCAACCTGTCCATTTGCGAGTGGTATTACCTTGGCTTGAAACATGGCTGGTACCAGAGGTATGCATTTCATTCGGGCACCTAGGCTGCCAGAATCCCCTTCCTAGTGCTAAAGGATTGCCTCACGAAAATCGCCTCGATTTGATGAAGGGAGGTGCAGAACCATTGGAGGGAACCTGCCATTCCCCACCCTTCATTTGGATTTCGTTTGTGAAGGGAGCTCCAAGCCCCTGCGCCCCAAGGCATGGGTGGTCCTTGCGATATGCAGCAGTTATCCCCCGAACGCAGTAGGTGGCTGACCACAGCACTGACTCCTCGATCCGCAGGTTGCACGAGCGCAAGCAGAAGGAGCTCCTGGCTCTCTGGCGGGATGGCCTTGAGGACTGAGATGCGGCCGTCTTTGTTGTTTGGCCCGCCGGACTTGTCCACAGGAAACTGCTGGAATCGGACTAGCTTCGCAAAATCTGCCCCTTGGATCCCTTCATTCCATTAGACCCTTTCTGTTACGGAAAGCCTGCTTTGCTGCTCTTGCCCTTGCTCGGGGCAGGCTTTCCTCAAGCGCCCCATCAAACTGCATCCCTGGCTGGTCTGAGCCATGGGCTGGTTCTGAGGACTCCGATGCCACGGCCCGAGCGGTCCATGCTGCAAACCGCCAGGGCCCGGGGCCCGGACTCGGCCCCGGTTGCGTCGGACATGACGCCGGCTTGCTGTAACCCGACGTACTTGTACCAAAAAGGGGAGGCAGGTTCACAAGAGTTGCACAACTGACCTTGAGACCTTTTGGCCTATTGCTGCCATGGCCTACAAAATAGAGTCTATAGCAGTTTGATTTGCGTGTTTCAGGCATGTGAGCTTAGCTGCGGCTGCATGTGCCGACCCAAGTAACGAAATCCAGATCTCCCGGCGCTTGTATGTTTTCTCTCGTGGGGGTTAAAAGCTGCCAGCCTGTTGCAGCGGAATGAAGCAAGGCAACAAATGAGAGCCGTCCCTTTGTATTGGGATATGAGGGGAAGAGCCATTTCATGTGTTGCCCCGCGCAAGTTCCGCGATGGACCTCGCGAAGGCTATTTTTTTTGGTTTGAGGTCGGGCAAAAGATGAGGTGCTTCAGCTAAGTTCAGGAAGGCCAGGCGGTGCCACAGGCAAAATGGACCAACCAGCCGGATCATCCGGGGCCCAGGGTCAGCTAATCCATGCTTAGCTTAAACAAGCAACAAGCAACAAGCGTGACCACAAGGACGCTAAAAACTTTCTGTTGAGGTCATCATCTTGCATGACCACGGCTTTTTCCTAAGCACAGCGAGGGGGGGAGGGGAATTACCCTAGCATGTGTTGACCTAGATCATGGAGTCCCCACTGCGGGGTTCACCCCCGAAAAGGGAACCGCTTCCCCGCAGAGGGAACCACCATGATGAGCATGGCCCGGATGAACATCCGAAGTCGTTTTTGTGTTTTTTTTTCAAGACGAGGCATCGAGGAGTTCTTGAAGGACCACCCCCACTTCAAGCAATGTGCTTGGCCCTCGGCCTGTTGGGATCAGCAGGACAGGCCAGGAAATGCGAGAGGTTCGAGGGGGAACGCCTCACGAGGGGCTCCCGAGAAGTGTTGCTTTTGACCGGTGCAGACTATGGAAAGTGTTTGGTCGGCCAAAGTATTTGTTTTGGATATGGGGCATGGACCCGCTCAGTCAGAGAAGTCTCTCGACCTGGTGGAAGATAGTTGCCGGAGCTCGTCTTCACAGCGCCCGCTCTCGCCCAGGTCTACTGGAATCATGTCATCCTGGTGTCCTCCATCTTTGGGCGGTTTGGATTGGCCGGGGCCTTTGAAGAGTGCCACAGTGCCAAGTGGATGAGGGGTCCTGAAGTCATCAGAAGTAGAAACCATTGTACCCGAGTCCGCTGTGGCGATGCGTGTTCCTACTTTTTGAGGTCAACCCCGATGGCAGCAGAGCAGTTTATGGCCACTTGGCTGGCACTGAGGGCCGCAGCTTGTGTGATCCCGATTCCCCGGTCACTGCTCGTGCAGGGTTTGGGAGTGAGGGCTGGCTCATGAATCAAACTAGCAAGGCATTTGTGCCGGTGCGGTGCGACTCCGGTTGAAGTGGGTGGGGGGCTGTCTCCTTTGGCTTCGACAGGTCTCCCTATGGGGTGCCAAGTCATCTCAACTTGGGACAAGCTGTGAGTGCGGACTTCGGATGCAGGTTGTGAGGTTGTGTCGTGGACTTTTCCCACTAGCCCAGGCCTGTGCAGCCACATCCGCCACAGCTGCCGGCCCAATGCGGCATGGTTCACCCTGCGCGGCCTGGCAGGAGAATGAACGTAGTTGTATTGGTTTCCTTGTATGGCTCAAGGCAGGCCAAGCGGAGGTTCCAGGTTTGCTTGAGTGCCAGGTAATCTGCCTTCCACTTGCATAAGTCCTGCGTGAGTTCCTGGCATACCCAAATCAACCCTTTCTTAAGGCAGCCACCTTGCAGGATGCTCTGAGTTGAAGCTTTGTCGCTGGATGTGCGAAGTTCAAAGAAAGCCAAAGACACAATCGTTGGCATGTGTACCCTGATCAAAAACTTGGGGTTAATAGGGTTGGTCACGGGCAGTTCAGGTGGGTTCCTCTCAAGGAGTTTTGACTGTGGGGATGTGGCAAGGGGGTCCAAATCGCTTTTGCATGGCCCCACGTGATGGAGGACGTGAGGGAGGGCCAACACGCTTGCGTGGACCTGCTCTGGGGGATATGCATACATACGTCATCATTCTTGCACTTATTTTGTATTGCAACTACTAGTCACTATTCTTGTTCTTGTGCCCGATTCTTTTTGGTTGAAGGCGGTTGTGCCATTCTATCATGTCTCGGCCTGGTTTGCTGATGAAGCAACCACAGATGTGTTCACAGACCACCTCGGTGGTGTTGGCCCGTTGGGCTTGGGAACGCGTCCCAAGGCAAGGGCTTCCCACGGGGAAAGCGAATGCCGGGATCTCGAGCCGGGTCATTTGTTACTTGAGGGGTAAAGGTTTGCGTCAGTTGGTTTCCGAGGGCAGTGTGTTGGTCAGTGAGATGTAGGCGTTTCTTGTGGCTTCTGCCCCTGAGCAGCATCACAACACCATTATAGATCTGATTGCTACAAGTAATGAAGGCCAATGTCAAAATGTCAACGGTTGCGCCGTCACTTCGAAGCAGTGTTTGGCGTTCCTTGACGCAGATTGAGTTTGAGAGGGGCTTCCTTACTTGTAAGCACATGCGCACATCCATGGATCTGGGACCGCTGCCTTGAATTTGAGCAGTGGCCAGGGGAATCATGCAGTGAATGGCAAGCCACAAGGTTGCCTGTGGCCCGCCAGCTTGCAATGCTTGCCAAGATGATGCGAGGCCTCCATAAATTTTGCAAACAAATTGCGAGGAATCATTTGGGAGGGAGGTCTCTCCCACAGGCGCCGTGATTTGCTCCATGGCACCTTTAAGTTGAAAACTTCCGGTTCTTGCCAGTTCACTGCGCTCAGGGTTCCTATCTCGCCATGGCACGCCGCGTGCGACCCTGCCACCGCCGCCATTCCTAACGGCCAAGGTTGCACGTGATCCATTTGGTCGGCCTGGCCGGTTCTTGGGCAACAGCACGTGTCAAGGGTTGGCATTGTTGTATTGTAAGAGGGGCCTCAGGCCAAGAGGATTAGCTCCGATCAAGGTGTTCTTTCTTCGGCCCGGCCATGAAGCAGCGCCGGCAGCTAAAGGTTGGCCATTGTGAGCATCACATGAACACCCAGACCCCCCTGGTGAAGCAGGGAATCCAAAAGTGGTCTCAGGTGAAGCAGACCTTGGTGATTCTGCCAAAGGCTTGCGTAGACGGGTGGTCATCAACTCTTGCCATGGGAACCTAGCCAGGCAATGCAGCAAATGTACGGTTCTCGGAAATCAACCATAGACCCGAGAGAAGTCGCGTGTTCATTTGTTTTGTTCTCTCCGAAAGGATACGTATACATGTACACGTTGGCGTCCCTCCTCCCTCCTGGCAGCAGCCAGGAGGGGATCCAGCGACGCGAAGAGATCACCGTGTCCCAGTTGGAGGACTCATTGGAATGTCCCAATTGCTCCAAATCAATTGATTGGGTTTGTTTTGGTTTTATATTTGCTTTCTGCTTTTGGCCTTGGGGCCCTTTGTTCTGTTCCATTTTGATTTGTCTAGTTTATTTGCTGTACAGCATGCTTAAACTCGTTTTTTCCTTGGGAGAGATCCAGACAATTTGCCCAGATCCAGATTGAATTGTTGAGACTGGCTTGACGAGCGCGTCACTCGCAAACTCAACCGCAGGAATATCAACTGTACTTTGCCGAGAGAAGCGGGGCAGAAGCGACGACTGGAAAAACAAAGTTCTAGCGACGCCTGAAAACGCTCCGCCGACCAAGAAGTGGTTACCAAACCACATCTGAAAATAGTACGGCTGACAACTCCTTTTTCGGATAGATTGTGGTTGAGTTTCTTCGAGTTTCATGGCACCCCGCAGAATCAAACAAGAATGCCTTTGACTCAGCGCGGCGGGTTACTTTTGCAAGAAGTTTTCATTCTTCCAGTCGGCGAATTGCAATTTGCCCAGGATCCAAGCCGATAAGAAGCTCACACTGATTTGTTCTGCTTTGAGGGAAGTCGACTATGCACAGTTACATCCTTACGGTCTGGAGCAACGGTGACGGCCATCATAGCCTAGGGAAATTTCAAGCTAACTTGGCGGACAAGTTCCAACGCCAACCGGCCAACACAAGGCACAAGCAAAGCTTTATTTTTTTGACATTCACATGGCAAGACCCGGGGCTGCAGCCAAAAGGACGTTCGTGCAAAAACAGCCCATCCAACAGAAGGGCCCCCAGTTGTGAGGAACTTGTAAAGGGCCTGTGCAGGAATCCATTCTGGTGCAGCCAAAGGCCCGCACGCGTCGTGTGTGGGAGGGTGGGGCGAGGGGCGGGTGACTTCACACAAGCTTCATGTGGGCTTGTGCGCTTTGCGCAGGGGTCGCAAGAGAAACCTGTGCCATCACAGGTGCTGTTATGACAACCCAATTCGTGATGGCCTCCATGAGCACGGACGCTCCCAGGACCCTCAAGGAGATACGTTCATCTCGTTGGTTTTAATGGGTTCTGGCTTCAAGGGGGCTCCAAACCATCAAATGCGTTCACCTCCAGGAAAGAACCACGCACACATTCCATGCTGTTTGGCAGCTTGTGCTGGGGGTAACTGAGCTTAATCAACTTGGGCCGGTTTTCCCTCTAGTCATGATCAGTTCCATTTGAAGCCAGCACAGAGAACTTGAACTCGTTCGAGGCGCTGCGCTCGCTACAGCTTCTGAAGTGCCAGGGCCGACGCGGGGGAACTTAGTTCAGCCCCAAAGCGAAACCTAAAGGCGGTTGTTTGAACAACAGCGGCTTGAGCATGTTTAGATGACAAGGCCGCGTTGGGGCAAAGGGCTTAGCAGCGACAGACAATACGTTGCACTGGCAGAACGAAGGCCAACAGATTTGGAACGACTCATGCCAATTAGGATTATTATGTGTGCCATTGTGACGGGAATCATGATGCGGTCACTGACTCCTCAATGGGGCATGTGGGCTTGTCTCAAGATGGGGGAACCCACAAAATGGAAATCACACCCACGTACGGGACAATGTGAGGGTTCGAATTCCTGAGGGAGACATGGCCAGGATCCGCAAAAATAAGTTTCGACCGTGGAAATGAGCAATGCGAGCCACCAGGGAAGCCTCGTTTGTGAGCGGTCTATGGTTCAACGCGGAATTCAGCCGCCTCTGCCCATGACAACCTACAGGTGCTTGTCGTGTCGGTTGGCTCCTCCAACCGAGGCTGTGGCTGTCCTCGCTGCGCTGCAGGGAACGAGGAGGAGGACGAGAGGCGGGTGGGAGGTGGGCGAGGCGGGCGGAGGCGAATGTTGAGATGGATTTTGGAGTCCTTATATTGGGATGATGGGATTATGTGACCAAGACCCTGGATGACCTTATTGAATTGCAACTGCCGACGCATGATTGGCCAACCCCGGTTGCTGAAGCGGGGCGGAGGTGCCCCATTTTAGAGGGGTGCTTCGCTTCTGGGGGCCGGGGGTGCCATACTGATTAATGCGGGGTCAACATCATTCCGGGCCAGGTCATATTCAACATGAATGGATGTGTTCGATTTAAGGGCACCTTTGGAAAGTCGTGAGCCAGGAAAGCATGGAAGCTGCCGGGCAATGGCGAGCCAATGAAGCAAGCTCTTCAAACCTCCCGTAGGAAGTTGGCAGCTGGTCACTTTTCGGCAAGCGGGCAACCCAGCCTTCTGATTAAACCGAATACATGTTGGTGTTGTCGTGTGGTTCAGACAAGTAGGGGTTTGCAAAACAAGTTGCCAGCGGGGAAGAGTCGAACAACTCTAGGAGTGGCGTGCAAGACCTGTAAAAGGGAGTTGTGCCATTTGCTTGTGCGTACCCAGGCAGGCAAAAAGTAAGGACCCCTCCGATTTAGTGTGGGGCCCAAAACGAAGAGTTCTTATTCGGCTTCCAAAAGCAGACAGACAGGGTCCTTGGGTGGATGCATAGGATAGGGTTTGCAGTTTGCAATGAAACGCAAATCTTCACCCTGGGTGGGAGGGCAAAAGCAGCGCCCTATCGATGCACCAGGTTATTTCGCACCCGAGCCCCAGTAAGGGACGCCAAAAGGACGCGGTTTACACAGCGGCGGTCTGAACACGAAGCCGGTGGTTCAATCGACGTCAGGATCCGGTACCTCTTCGGCAAGCTGGGCACAGCGCTGGCGGCCAAGCCGCCCACGGATGGCTCCACGGCGCTGGCGCAGGACGGGGTCGGGGGTGGCGTTGGTTCGGAAGGGGCTTTCTGGGTTTTGATTTGGATCCTTATGCAGGATGGTGGTGTTGTAGTGGTGCCCCACTGCGAGTCACTGATTAGCATTTGGGAAGCCAGGCTTTTGGCCATGGGTTTGGTGTGCGGAAGGGGTGGAGGGGGGCGGGGAGGGGGATGGTTTGAGTTTCCAAGGTGGCTCTCCATGATGCGATCTTTGAAGTGAAGCTTGCAGTCATCTTAGCCTTTTGCTTCCTAGCACTTTGCCTTGCATAGTATTGGTCGCTTCTCGAATATCTGCCGTGGGCGCAGTTAGCTTCCATGCAAATGGGAGATGTGCCCAAACATGGTACAACACGCTTCGCACAAAGCACAGAAAAACCACCGGCCCACGCATTCAAAAGGGTTTCAACCAAGGATGATTCGCAGAGTTGTAGCTAAATTGCATAGGACGTTCCGAGACTTGGTCATGATATTTTGTGGACCCACCAGATGTCAACCAACATCCGCAGATTCAAAGAAGGACACAGCAGTGAGGATCACACCAGGAACATTTCCAAGGTAGAGCAGCTTGTTCACCTTTTCCTGGCCTCTATTCTCCCGCAGGAATGCCTGCAGGAGTTGGATAGGCCAGGCGCAGTGGCCATGGGAATCGTAGCGCGTGTGAGTTGGGCAAACTCCCAAGGAAGTCCCCAACCAAAAGAGAAGTGATAGAAACGCCCGCCCAAGAAACGCATGAGGTTGGGGGTCGAACCGTCTTCAAGAGAACCCGTACCCTTCAGGGTTGCTGCACACCTTTTGACAATAGAGACTTGCCTGGCTGGAAGCCCGCGGCAGAGTCCGTCTCCCTTTTTTAGCTTCCCACTGGAAAGTGGCTGAGGATTGGCAAAACATGTTTTTGGACCTGCCGGGACAGTTGCAGCTTGCCGGCGACTAACATTTGATAAGCATGCGTGCGCTGTATCGATGCACCCGGTTTGCGCACCTGCTTGTGCCACAGTGATTTGAATGTCTCGTGTCCGAAGAAGGTTCCTTGTGGAGAACCGTAGGAAACCGGGGAGAGCAGGCGCCGGGCCACCCAACTGGATTACATGCCAGGCATTCGCAAGATGGGGGGGGGGGGGGGGCGGGGAGGGGGGTCATGATTTACCTTGGCAACCTGCGAGGCTGGTGCCATTCTCCATGCAATCGAAGGTTGGGGGCGCCCAGACTCCAGTGATGGCCTGGCCGTGTGCCAGTTGGCCTTGGCTCAGGTGGCTGGGCCGTAGGGCTGCTTGGACATATCGAATCACCTTCCGCGGCTTCGGGGGCGGGTTAGAAATGCGTGTGTCGTACAATTCCCCCCAGTGTTGGCACGATTTAGAAGGAACATGTCTTGGTCCGCAGTCCTGCATGTGCATAATGTTCCATACTGCTTGGACGAGCTTTCTTGTTCTGCCTTTGCATTGCTGGCCTTTCTTCCACGCTCGGGCTGTGGTTTCTATGTTGGGCATTCTGTGCTTGCTTATGTCATGTCTGAAACTTTGTATCATGTCCCAAACTGACGGCGCCGGCCGAAAAGCAGGGGCCTGTATTGCGCAATAACAATAGCTTTCTTTGTGCCATGTGTTTGGTGCACGTCTAGCGGTCCCATATGGCACAATGTTCCCATCCTGGATGGCCCCATCGGCCATTTCAGCTGAGGCCAAGGCGAAGGTGCTGTTAGCGCGGGTCTTAGTGGCGACTGACAAGCTCAGAAGAGAGCTGAGGTCGAACTTATGATTCGACCTTTGTAGGTTTGTTGTTGGACTTGTAGGTTTTATGTCTCAAACTGATGCTCCGAAGCACCAGTTGGCCATGTTGAGTTCAAGGGCTTACGGGTATGGGCTTTCTTCTGCCAGTTTGCTGGCTTAAAGGCGATCGTCGGCTACCGGACATTTTCAAATTCGTGGGCACATTGCCAACCGGACACTGTTCAGGACAAGGTGTCTGGTCTATTTGTTTCTGTGTTTTATAGCCGGGGGATGCAAAGAACAAACCTTCTTGCTGACGTGGAGTGGATTCTCGATGCATGCTACCAGAGCGCCTCTCTGAGCTTGCGCAGCGGGGTTCTCGCATTGTATCCCCCCCAAACATTGAACCCCCTCCCTTGGCTTCCTCCAAATAAGGCTCTCATGTTATGGCCTATTAGGGGACAGATCCTATGGGTGTTATTGGTGAAGCAGCGCCCCCTTTCAGGGCAACCTCAGGTTCAGTCCCAAGACCCTTGAAGTTTCTTATTGACCGGCAAGGCGTGAAGGGAGTTGTGAGGTACACCCCGGACAAGTCCTATTAGAGCCTTACCAGGTATTCAGGAAACCCAGAGATCTGAAGAGGCTTTTAGGTGCGCCTCAAAGTTCCCTTGATTTGGTTTGAACTTCTTGTTGGGACCGGTGTCTCGCTTCATTGCAACTGGGGCCTGCCCTTCTTTGGGCCATCGACGTAGCGAGCCACCTTGGGAGGTGCAGGGAGTTATGTTTCAACCCCAATTTGCAGCTTGTTTATTTGACCTGCGGTGTTTCATATTTCCCGTGTCTGGACTACAAACTGCCTGGATTGCAGTGGAGCTTGCTTAGATCTACACCTGGCACACAAGTGATCGCACATGGTTGTGAGTTGCATTTGCAAGCACCCTACACATAGTCAGTCCCAACTGAAAGTTGCACACCCTCCGTCCTGGTATATTCTGATGGGCCCTTCCGATGACAAGCTTTCACATCAACGTGGCTCCACTGCTTGGGTGGGATTGCCCAAGCCGTCGCATTAGGCCACAGCCTTCGGGGAGCTGTCCCAGCGCGCAGCATGGCAGCAGGAGCGGGTCGCCTGGATCAGACCTTTGGCGTAAGCAATGGATAGGATGACACTTGCTGAGCGGCAAGAAATGGCAGGGTGGTTGGAAATGATTGATTCAAAAGCTATGGGAACTAAGAGAGCCATGATTGTTGTGGTCGTGGCCGTAGTGTTGTCGTCGATCGCTGCCGTTCTGCAGAACTCAATGTGAACACATCGCCCAAGTTGCGATTCGCCGGCTCTTCGCCGCAGCTGGCCTTCATGATTCATGCGCCAAGTACGATAGGCCGCCCGCCTCCCACCAAAAGCGCCTAGCTGCAGTTGTCTCAGCTGAGTCCTGGTCGGTTGGGCCCGGACCATTTATTCATTGGGCGGTCGGGCCGTTGGGCCGCAGGACAACAAGTCCGCCAACATCATCCGATGGCCCTGAGCTGAGTAGTGGCTAGGGACCTACCCGCGAGGGGAGCTTGGTTTATGGCTGCGGAGGAATCTTCCGAGTGGGGGTTGCATGTTGGTTCCCTTTCCAACCCGTGTTTGAATGTTGACGATTTTGACGCTTGCCTATCAAAAGCACAAGTGACTTCTGCTTCTTCGGAAAGTGAGCGAGTTCCAAAGAGATTCTCTGCAAAAAGGAGATGCTATAGACTCTAGACCTTCAGCGCTTTCTTGGGTACAAAGTTGTTCGAGCATCCTTTGGGAAGTGCATTGTTTGCATGTCGTTTCCTCGTCCCAAGTGTGTTCGGTGCAATGGAGCCCTGATTCTCCTTATTGCGATTGCATGCTTCCCCAGTCAAACCAGTCTGGTGCAATGGACTGCTTGGGCCCGTCCCGTGGCGTTTCCCATGGCGCTGGCGCTCCTTTGACCCTTTAGGCACCCGGTCGAACATCCCAACAGGCGATTCCATGGCCACGGGATGTCAGCTTCAGGACCGGACTGGACGCAGAGAGCCAGGAGCAGAGGCGCGGGGGGGGGGGGGGAAGGGCGTCCGCCGCCTGATAAAGGCTTTGGGCTTGCCCGGCTTTCACCCGGAGCGGAGGGCAGAAGCAAAGATCGCCAGTTTTCCGCGTCCGCCCTCCGCCTCCCGAAGAATGGTGTGACACACGCATGAATGGGCTGGCTCTTGATCAGACAGCCCAGATTGATGGGGGTAGCTTCAGGGGTTGGCTGCTGTGGAAAGAGCGGGGGTTTACGCCGCTGCTCAGCTGGGCAGGAGAAAGAAAGGCGGTGTTAAGCAGGGGCCATTTTGTTGGCTGGCTTAAGACTTTAAATGCAAATTAAGCTGGAAACCACAAACAATCCCGAGCGCACCACCTCCAAAAGGAAACACGTGGAAAGGAGACTGCACATTTTACGTTGGCACGATATCATGGCAGGTTGAAGGACGCCAAGAAGCTCTACGAGACGGCGGGCAAAGACTTCGAGTACCTGCTGGGCCAGGAGCCAGTTGTGGTGCCGGGCTTGTTTCAAAGCTCTCTCTTCTATGTGGGCCAAAAAAGTGGGTGAGCTATTGCTATTGCTATGGGAATCACCCCTAAAACTTTTGGAAACATCCAAATGCTAACAACTTGAGTTTCGCAACTGGCTTTAGGCAGGGCAGAGATGCAAGGGAGAAGTTTTCCCGGTTTGGGGCAGTTGTGGGTTGGCTCACTGTCAGACATTTCAGGCACACACTGCTTTGCCCTAACCTCCTGGATGGCAATGCGGAAGAGCTAAGCAAATTTTTAGGCAGCACGCAGTCGGACGAGGATGTTTTCGTGGAGTGTCAAACCTGTACTGCTCTCGGCTTCAAATACGCATTCCTTGCGGGTGAGGTGCGCTTGCAAGACGCAGTATAGGGTGCCATTGGATGTTAGGCAGGAACAAGCTGGAACCGTTGAGAACAGCCAATCAACCAGGAAGCCAACAGGAATCCACAGCTTATTGCTGGAAACTGACTCTTGTCCCAGGCGTCCCCCCACCTGTCCCGTTGGCTGGTCGGACTGAGCCTTCTGTTTCAGGACGCCCTGCCCATTTTGGAGCGGATGGAGCCGGGCATCCAAGCTGTCCGTCAAGACTTAGTGTGACGGGAAACCTGGCCGGCTGCTTAGGGGTCAGGATTCAAAGAAGGGCAGTGCGGAAGTCCGCACCCTCACCCTCCGTTTGTCATCGGCCAAGGGCCTTTTGGGAGCGGCCACAAAGCATGGAGTGCCAGGTTCAGAGTGTAAGATGTTAGTTCAGAGCAGGCCGGCATGGGGTGCTGCCCTTGAATTCCCGCGCGTGCAAGTGGGCTATGTTTCCTTGTAGTTGCGATGTTTAAAGCAGTCTCACGTTGTGTGACTCGCATACGGCAAGCTTCCTAACTTTGGCATTCTTGCAGACCATCTGACATCAGATATTCAAACTTTCTCTCACCCAGACAGGTGTTCCCCAATCCGAGGTGGCTTTTTCTCTGGCGACCTCCAAGGTCGGGCTACGCCCCTGTGCAGGACCAGCACAAGGTCTTGGCCAAGTACATGCGAGAGAAGGCCCGTGTGGGTATGTGTCATAACTGGGGGGGCCCCATCGTACCCTCAAAGAACACCTCGAAGGGCAGCTGGGGTCAGCTTTAAATAGCACGCTTTGCCTTGTTTTGATGCCGGGAACGCGAGAATCAGGGCATCAGCAGCAAAGTGGTGAAAGTTTGTCAGATGGCGTTCTGGGAAGGATCCTGAAACCAGAATCCCTGGCTGCGATGGTTCCGCAAGGCAAGCCTCAACAAAAATCAGACTGTTGCCCCTCTGGAGAGTCCTTAAGCCTGGCTGGTGGCCAGCCAAGTCAGGAGCCCGACGAGGACCCCAGCGCTGCGGCGGGCGTGCCCTGGCCTGAGCAGGCCCGGAAAGGAGTGTGGTTTGTTTCGCTGAAGTTGTTCAAAATCGATCCCCAATCCTTATGCCAGATGGAAGTGGTTTCGCTTGTGGTAGAGGTCGGATTGGGATTTGGGATTTGGGATCCCTCCGCCCCCATTTTGAACAACCCAGTTTTGGCACTTTGCGTCTTCGAGCTGTCGGTTGCCACCGGGGGCGTGTGTTCTCGGTACAGGTGGTAGGGGCTGTATTACTCATTGATCAGATGCGGCCTTCCAAGCGGGGTGGCCATTGAAGGTTTCATGACTACTCCATATGATATAGATGCAACGCGCTGTCGAACGATTGTGCAAAAGGAAGCCAACTTGGCCACCGCCGGCAAGATTTCGGACCCAGCTGCGAAAGTGTACGACCTTCGGTGGACAAAATTTTTGTCCACCAGCCATTTTGTGAAGATGTTCCCCAGCAAGATTCAGAGCCAGATTGCCCGTTTTCTGAGGGCAGCGGTTTCAGGGGTGTGAGCCCCGTGGGTTCGTCGTGCGAGCTGAAATGCAGGCGCAGGGCTACCAGCCACAATTGAGGCAGCCGGGCTGCTCTGAGGATCGGCGCACACCGGTTTATCTTTGCCTGGTCGGGAAAAGGGGCGTGTTTCGTTTTTTGTATTCCCGAAAGCATGGCGAAGGGTTCTTCCGCTGGGTTCACTTGAGTTGTTCTCATGAGAGTCATTACAAGGTGTCATTGCAAGGAATCATCATCATGAAAGTCATTGCAAGGAGTCATTGCAAGGAGTCATTGCAAGGAGTCATTGCAAGGAGTCATTGCAAGGAGTCATTGCAAGGAGTCATTGCAAGGAGTCATTGCAAGGAGTCATTGCAAGGAGTCATTGCAAGGAGTCATTGCAAGGAGTCATTGCAAGGAGTCATTGCAAGGAGTCATTGCAAGGAGTCATTGCAAGGAGTCATTGCAAGGAGTCATTGCAAGGAGTCATTGCAAGGAGTTGCAACATTGCACTTGACTCCTTGCACTTGCAACTTGCACTTGACTCCTTGCACTTGCAACTTGCACTTGACTCCATGCACTTGCAACTTGCACTTGACTCCATGCACTTGGCTCCTTGCACTTGGCTCCTTGCACTTGGCCCCTTGCACTTGCAACTTGCACTTAACTCCGTGCACTTGCGACTTGCACTTGACTCCATGCACTTGGCTCCTTGCAACTTGCAATGGCTCTCATGACTCCTTGCAATGACTCCTTGCAATGACTCCTTGCAATGACTCCTTGCAATGACTCCTTGCAATGACTCCTTGCAATGACTCCTTGCAATGACTCCTTGCCATGACTCCTTGCAATGACTCCTTGCAATGACTCCTTGCAATGAATGACTCCTTGAAACAAGCAAGGAGTCAAGTGCAAGTTGCAAGTGCAAGGAGTCAAGTGCAATTGACTTGCGAGGAGTTAAAATCTCTTCTTAGGGCGGCGGGGTAGTGCCGACGACACTACACGAAAATCGACCCTCTGCGGGGATCGGCGTGGTCGAGGTGCAAAAACCCATGGTTTTTTGCGATGTTTAACCTGCTCGCGCGACCCTCTGCGGGGATCGGCGTGGTCGAGGTGCAAAAACCCATGGTTTTTTGCGATTTCTAAAGTTCCCGCGCGACCCTCTGCGGGGATCGGCGTGGTCGAGGTGCAAAAACCCATGGTTTTTTGCGATTTCTGCGGTGCTCGCGCGACCCTCTGCGGGGATCGGCGTGGTCGAGGTGCAAAAACTCGAGGTTTTTTGCGATTTCTAACCTGCTCGCGCGACCCTCTGCGGGGATCGGCGTGGTCGAGGTGCAAAAACCCATGGTTTTTTGCGCTCGCGCGACCCTCTGCGGGGATCGGCGTGGTCGTTCTCGAACTGGGGGAGTTCCTCGGGGCGCGCGCGCCTGCTCCCGGAACCGGCGGGTCGCGGGTTCGATTCCTCCCTGGTCCGCGGGCGGGCGTCGCAAGATGCAACTTGCATTTTAAAGCAACTTGCGCAGAGCAACTTGCGCAGAGCAAGTTGCACAGAGCAACTTGCGCAGACCAACTTGCACCGACCAGTTTGCGCAGAGCGCCTTGCCTAGAGCAACTTGCGCAGAGCAACTTACGCAGAGCAACTTGCACAGAGCAACTTGCACAGAGCAGCTTGCACAGAGCAACTTGCAGGGAGCGCAATTTGCACAGAGCAACTTGCAGGGAGCCACTTGCAGGGACCAACTTGCCGGAGCAACTTGCGCGGAGCAACTTGCGCAGAGCAACTTGCACAGTGCAACTTGCGTAGAGCAACTTGCGCAGACCAACTTGCACCGACCAGTTTGCGCAGAGCACCTTGCCTGGTGCTGTCTCGCGCTTGCTTCACAAATGCTTCGTGTAGGGAAAAAGAACGCATCCTGCAGCGTTGGGCCGACCTCGCTTGCGATGTTCTGCTTTCGGGCCAACCGTGGTCTAGTTTTTTTTGGGGGGCGGGGGGGGGGGGAGGATCAGCAATTCTCCTAAGAGGATCAAACGACAAACCCTGCCACAGACCTTCTAGTTAGAGCTTGGATGCCGGGTTGGCGCAGGGCAGCGAAGTCGGGTGCCCAAAAAGAGAAACACCAGCACTTGGGATGTTAGAGCTTCGAACATCATTTGTTTGGTCTTTTCCTGAAATAACACAAGAGAAGCCCCCACACCCGTTTGGGGAGGCCCTCGGCTTTGAGCAGCGTACATTTGGCCAGTTGGCACTATAGACGTCACTCTAGGCTAAGCTCGTTTGCAAGGATCCTGGCACGCGTCCATTCCTCCAGCTGGCACTTGGCACAGTGGGGTGCATGGATTTGATGGCCAACTTCATCCAAATTCCATGCGGCATGTTTTGCCCTTCCCGTGATGGAACCCCCCCCCCCATGCCAGCTGGGCAATCGGCCGACCAACACTTTCCTCCGTTCAGCTGAGGCCCGGCATGCCACCGACATGGGAGGAGCTCTTCAAAACCAAGGCCTGAGACAGCGCAGGGCCGCAACTTCGGCAATCGCATGTGAGGGGAAGCAGTGCGATAGCTTCCTGACGGATGGACAGTTCAGAAAAGAAAGCAACAATCAGATGTAGATTTCTGCACACGAAGTGCTGATTGTGTCCAATGTCCGGAAGTGGCAGAACCTGCCATTGGGCGCGAGCAAGTGCAGCAGCCGGACAAATAGCGAGAGCTGGACGTTTCGCACGACAGAGGCGGCAAGGAGTCATGTCGAAGGAGCCGGCGCCTATCACTCGAGTGGAGGTTCTCTCCACTCTTGGCGCTGGCAAGGGAGGGGTGCCGCATGCTTGCAATTGAATGCGCTGAATGCGCAGAATGCGCATGCTGTCAGGGGCCCATTGCAGCAAATTGGCAGCAAACAATGGCAGCCCGATGTGGCTGACCCCCAAACGCAACGGTGCTGATAAGTGCATTTTGGTCAGGTAGACCTTTTGGGGAGCTCAGCCAGCTTGGTTAGTGCGTTACTCCTGCAAGACCTGCGGCTGGCTATCCATTTGGTGAATCCCTCCCACTGACAAAGTCACAGCTAGCCAATGACACGCCAGACAGAAGATTTGTTTGTAATGCTCTTGATCTGTTTCCCCCTCCTCCTCCCATGGCGGGTGGCCTGAGCTCAGAGCCCAGGCTCTAGTTTCTTTCTTCCAGAGTGGCTTCCTGGTAAGATCAAGTGCCACAAGAGGGTGCCCTTTTCCCATGGTCATTGGAGAGCCGGGAGACTGGAACTCTTTAGCCCTGTGCGGATTTCGTCCGCAGCCATTGCCGCCGGCAGAGAGCTCTGGGCCTTTTTGAGAAGCTGCGGCTTCCGACTCGGGCCACATGGGGACTCACGCAGCCGCGGCCTCGAAACGCCCAACATGGGTTTGAGGGCAAGGGGCAGTTGGGACAGGATGAGGCACGCTAGGGGCGACTATGCATGTTACAAGAAGTAGGTCTAATCATGGGTAAGCCACATGAGCGTTCTCCAACACTGGGGGAACATCGCACGGTGGGCAGCGCACTGTATTCCCAAAGGAGCCAAGTGAGGGGTCCCCTTACCGCCTCCTTGTGAAAGGAGAAGCTTCGAGATCTCTGGGACGGGAGGGAGAGTTGGTTGGTTACCTCTGTTTTCTTTGGGCAGGCAAAATGGGCCCCCCAAAAGAATACAATTCATTTGGTGAATTCCACGGAGCTGATAAGTTTGGGGCGCTGTGCATGATCCGTCCTCGCCGTCCCGAGCCGCGGCTGCCAGACAGGTCTGGACGGTTGAGTGGTTAGAGTGGTGGCAACAAGTCGGAGCCCTCGTTGTTTTCTACGTTTCGGCGGCGCAGAAAATCCAAAACTGGAGGCCCAAGGCCTCGAAGCATTAATTATGATTTTCTGTGTCAAATTTCAAGGGGTACACGACAGCACTCTTTTTTGCCAGACTGCCAACTTTGCTCCCTCCCAAAGCGGCACCCCCAAATCGCGCCTTCTGGAGTGGGCCCGTCCGAGTCCGAGTCGTGTTTGCGCCAAATTCTGCGCAGCCCTGGCAGTAGTGCAACCTGCATTGCGAAATGCAGTCTTTCCACTGCTTCCAATCCGGCAGAACGCATGTGCCAAACCACATTGCCGTGGCACGCTTTCTGGCGGTTCCCCGCTTGGGGCGAAGATGGACCTTGCGTTGGCGCAGATTTAGTCAGTTTGAAACGCGCTCAAGCAATGGGGCAGAATACTTTGTTCAGGGGGCAACGTTTGTGGAAAGTAAGGTGCGCATGTGCATCCCTTTTACAACCCTTGTGCAAGCCTTATGCAACCTTTCTGTATGTGTGGTAGACCCAACTATCGCAATGCGACACTCCTCCCGAACCACGCCCTTATTTTTGTTGGAACTGCCTTATCGAATGCAGCCAGATGGGAGTTGTTTGGTTGCCCTCCCCTCCCCTCCCCTCCCCTCCCTCCCCCAAAAAGCAAAAACCAGACGCAAGACGGAGCCACTGAACATCACCGAACCGCCGAAGCAGCGAAGCACCAGGCTCCGAAACCTCGGCCACGCCCAGTCCACAAGGCCATGCGAGCGCCCGGGAGGCGCATGGCTCCAAACTAGCAAGATGAAGGGCCTTCCTTCCCTCCCTTCTTCTCACGGCCATGAATCCATGAGAAAGCCCCCCCGAGCAGCGAAGATTCAAAGACACTCACATGCTTGATTTCCATCCAATAATCTTAGGTTCGAAAAGTGGCGAACAGGGCGCCAGCCTGTCAGCACTCCTGACTCCTGGCAGACAGGGGTTGGTGCAGAAGCTGGGCAGGTGGGCGGTAGGATGGCTTGGCTAAAGGTTTGGCCTGACTTCTGATTGGGAAACCACCATTCAGAACATCAAGGACACATTAGGAGCCCCTTACCCCCCTCAGAAAGTTTATAAGAGCCATTTGAGCAATCCCTTGAACGAAGGTTCCAAGAACCTTTCCTGGCTGGGAGGCCTTTTGGCCTTTGGATATCTCCCAGGAGCGATAGTTGATGCTTTCGGGTTCATGGAACAGTTGCAGACCAAGGTCACTGTCTGTCAAACCTTGCCTGGCCGCGGCTAGGGGGCTTTCGGCCCAAACAGTGGCCTGAGTCCCACCACAGTCTGCAAAACTCACCTGGCAAGTTTCGGCCCTTCAAGGGCTGAAGCCGAGCCATGCTGTGGCTGGTGCTGGCTTTGTCTGCCACCTGCGGGTCAGCATACCGAGCAGTTCTAGCATCATGCGAGCGGGAGATACCAGGCTATGTGCGGCTTGGCCGGGCTGTGGGTTGCTGTTCAGTTGTGGAAATCGCGTATCACGGGGCCCCTCGTTGTCAAAGCGGACATGAACATTTTTTTTGGAATCTTAGCTCATTCTTCACCAAAAAAAACATGCCTGTTCCGGGGTGCCTTCCTGTTCTCTCTTTGGGCCAGCTTTCTTGCAGACCAAGCATGGCCCTTGCGAAGAAAGACACCTTTTTTTCCGGACCCTGCCCGTTTCTGGCTATGAATCTGCAGTGCCTGCATTGCGCACGCTTCAGAAGGAATGCATTGTCCTTTGAGGAACGTGTGTGGTTGCTCTCGCCATCCAAAAGTCGGCTGCGCCGTGCATGTTTGACGAATGAGGTCCAGATAAAATGGCTTAGCATGGGTTCTTTGGTGCAGCCGAATCAAACAGGCGTAGGCGCGGGTGTGGACTTGACAGGCGCAAGCGCAAACTCTTGGACGTTGGGCTTTCTTGTTCCAGGGACCCATGCTCGGACCCAATCCCAGAAGAACGTGCCCGCTTGCGAACGGGCTACAGCAAGGTGTTACTGTAAGCAAGGTAACGAAACATTTGGAACACCCCGCACGCTGGACGAAGGGGTCGGGAATGGAGGGCCAACGTTTGTTGAATCAAAGGGTTGGCTTCCAGAAAATGCTCCTTCGAAGTGGCAAAGTAGTGATCGGGGTGGGAACCTCGCCCAGGCTGAACTTGGATCGGCGCGCGGACCGCCTGAAGCGCCCTGGCCCTGAGCCACGTATTCTCTTGTGCCAACCGCAAGTTCCTCGAACAAGTTTGTTCCTTTTGGGAAAGTGGCAGGCAAGCGCGCTTTGTGCGGCCATTGTCGGGGCACAGCAAGATATTCAGCAAATTGGACTGTTTGTTGGGGGGTTCAAGTGCTTGCCCCCCCCCCCCCTCCCAGCTCAACTCCAAATCACGAATTACCGCAAATTTGCAGCCAGAAAAGCAACGCACTTAAGAGGCGCCTCCTTTTGGCTTGGGTTGAGGGTTGGGCAACTCCTTGACAGTCAGAATGGGGGGCCAAAAGGAACCCACTAAAAATATCAAGGGGGTAGACCCTCGGTGATACAGAATAGGAGTTGTAACCGGAGAGCGTAGATAAGGCGGTGTTGGGATGGTTTTGATTCTGAGCAAGGACCAGGAGTCCTTTCTCCATGAGTGGAGCTAAGAAATACAAACACAAGAAACACAATAGCGGCGAATTCCTTGCCACTCACAGCATCTTGAATTGAGCTGAAAAGAAAGGGCTATCTTGAGCGCGATTAGCCGCAACTTTAGAACGGACACCTTTCTCACAACTGTAGGGTTTGCCTCTGCCTTTTCCCTTGTGAGGAGCCTGGATGCGTCGTTCGGATATGTCCGGCTCAGCTTTGAAGTTGTGCGGGCCATAATCCGGTCCACTAGACTGATGGATTGTCTTTGTGTACTGGAAGTGGCGGATCTCCACCATCAACTTCTTGGGGTCGTCATTTTAAAATTCTGAAGCAGCGCAAAGATTGTAAGCTCTCCGGGAGCAACATTGCTGCGGAGGCAGGCGCAAGCTTCTTGAGCTTAGCTGACAATGCCCGCGCATCATGGAATGTTCGTGCGAAGGATGAGACCCATAAGATTGCTGCGACCGCTCCACAGTTTCAGAGTTGCATGGAATAGCGCAAAGCTCATGTCTTTTCCCAATGAGAAAAGAAACAAGAAGTTCTTCTGGCATGACCACGCCCTGCCATAATCGAAAAGGGATCCTTTCCGAGAGGAAGATCACGTGTGCGTTCATCGAGAGATTCATGGTCTCTTCCATGTTCTGTCCGCTGGCATGTCGGCCTAAGAAGATTGGCGGGGCGGATGTTCCGTGGAACCACCTTCTTCACTGAACATCCTATGTTCGGAGAATCCGCAACCGCAACTGAGCATCAAAATAATAAACCCGCCAACAAGAAGAACTTCGGGTAGGTCCTCGGATCTAGTCCAGCACAAGAACAAGCCGGTGATACATGTATGGAGCCCAATGAGCAAGGCTTCAAGGCAGTGTTCAAAGACATTTTCAGAGGGGCCTCGTTTTGGGCCTTGGGACACCTCGATACGCTGAGGAAGCTGGGTCAGACACTGGCGGAGCAGGCGCCCTGGCTGGCTGCGGCCACCTGCCGTGTGGCGGGGGTGGATGGACGCCGCATGACGGAGGAGACCACGGTCCCGCCGGCGCTGATCCAGGTGGGGGCGGAGGGTTGTCATCCCTCGCTTTTGATCTCCCCCTTACGAAAACGGCTCATGGAAGTAGGGCACAGTGATTTAAAGCGAGAACTTGATGACCTTTAAGCCTCTAACCAAGCCCTATACCCACTACAACCGCCCAACCCCACCCCACCCCACTAAACCCAGCCGAAACCGCAACCACTACCCGGACCAGCCCTACCCCGCTCTCTGCACCCCTAAAGAAACCCTAGACTAATCCTTCCTAAACCAAACCTGGCCCACCACACGACCCAAATCTACAAAGTATCGACCTCCAATAGTAGTTTTGACACATGATTAGGATTGGGCAGGTACGGTGTCATGTAGTCATTTGGAGCAGGGAAGAAGAGTGTGTATCTTGCCATCGTTGGCTCAAGGTACACAGCCATCGGCGATCGCAGTCTTCTTTCCAGTTTTGCACTTGTTTCTGGCTTGGTAAAGCACAGACTCTTCCCTCGTCTTGCTACGGCAGGGCATCGAGTGGTGACTGCCTCTGATGCGGCAATGGAAGAGGGGTCTATCGGTTCTGCTGGCTTCTTGGTGGAGTGGTTGGGGCACAACCCACCCAAGCGCCACGCTTTCCAAGTGGAGGTTGTGCCAGGCATTTATAAATATTTGTTTTCTGGGTCGCATAAGATTGCGCAGTTGGAAATGCTGATGCTATGCGTGGGACTCATTCGGCTTGCAGACTTGCTCAGAGACTGCAGGGGTGTCTGGCGCATAGACAATGTCTGCGCACTCATGGCGCTCATCAAAGGCCGGGGCTAGTGCACGCTGCGATGTTTGCTCTTAAATGCCAACTCTATGTTGAATACGCCCAGTAAGTCCAACTGGGCAGATGGCATCTCACGGGAAGGACTTTCCGATTCGTGGCGCGCTCGCTGACTGTCCGTGGGGTGCCATCTCTGGCCCAAGTGGGGCCGCACCAATGCATTATGGAGTTGAAACTCCTTGGCGGGACGCAGGGAAGTATGCGTGAAGAAAGTGCGCAGTGGCAGCCGGGATTGGCCCGCACACATAAACATAAACAAGCTCCAAATGTGAGCGTGTCTTCGCTTGACGACGGGTGGCCCGGAAGCATAGAATTACATTAGGTCAACTCTGACACCTCCCCCGCCTCGCTGATGAGCAACAACATGTAAACGCGACAACGCCTCTGCTCAAGCAAGGCCTCTGCAAGTTTTGATGCGTGAGCTAAGCAACATGCTTCACAATCTCTCCTTTCAACTTCTCTTGCACACGATGCTGTGAATTGAAGCTGTGGGTGAGGCTGCGCGTGATGTTGCCCATGATGCTGCGCATGATGCTCCCTCTTGCGCGTGATGCTCTGCAGTCTCTTTTGCCGAATCTTTCATGCCCGTGTCTGTTGCCAGCCTCTCTTGTCCATATCTGTGCCCAGTTTGGCTGCACAAGAAGGCTGCCGGCTTTCCCTGCGGAAGTGCACTTGGCATGCTACCCAGATGCGGAAGGGTACTTCTCGTGCTGCTTTTGCATGTTAAAGTTGCGATTTCCGAGCCGGAGGTGCGAGAGCGCGCGAAAAGTTGTGATTTTCGAGCGCGCGTCGCGCGCAACTTTTGCACGTCGAAACTTGCCATTTTTCAGTCGGAGCTGCGGGAGTGCGCTTTGCGTAACACTGTTGTACTTAAAAGTTCCGAACTTCGAGCAGCTGCGGGAGCGCGCTCTTTGCGTGCTACTTTGTATTGAAAAGTTGCGTCGAGCCGTTGCGTCGAGCCGAAGCTGCGCGCATGCTCTTCGCATGGTACTTGCGGGCACGAGACGAACGATTTTGCAGCCGGAGCTGCGGGAAGGCGTTCCGCGTACTACTTTTGTACTTAAGAGCTGCGGTTATTCGAGCTCGACTGCGCGATTGCGAAAGCAGGTGCGACAACTTACGCAAACAACCTCGCAAGCAAAGGAAGCAACACAAAACGTACGGCGCCATAGCGAGAGTGCTTCGACACGCAGGATCTCCGCAGAGAGTTCGCTGAGAGCGGCGCAGCGGGAGCGCTTCGACACGCATGATCTCTGCAGAGGCTCTGCCGAGCTCGAGACGCATTCGCACGGCGCCACAGCGAGAGCGCTTGAACGACGCACCGTCTCCACAGAGGGTCCGCCGAGACCAAGCTACCTTCGCACGGCGCTGTAGCGAGGGTGCTTCGACGCGCAGCCGCACAGGGTTTCCGAGCTCAAGACACATTCGCACGGCGCCGCAGCGAGAGCGCCTCGGCACGCGCAACGTCAAGACAAATTCGCACAGGCGCAGTTTCCGCAGAGGTTTCCCTTTCTTCCTGCGACCTTTGGAAGTGAGTGAAACGCTGCGGTTGCCACGAAATTCACAGACCCTGTTTGTGAAAATGCTGCGCTTGCCACGCAACCCATAGCATCAGCGCAAAACATACTGCGACCGCCACGCAAAAAAACGCATGCCAGTCTCACAAAATGCTGCGCTGGCATGGAATCCGGCCGTCAGCGCACAAATCCGAAGATCGGCGCGGCGCCACTGCGAGAGTGCTGCTTTGAAGGAAGATCCGTTCCATGCGAATCTGTCGCACGCAAGACAACTTTTTGCGACAACTGCCATGCCCGACAAGAAGACTTCCACCGCGTAGCGGCCCTACCATGAAAAAACATTTTGCTTTCAAAAAGCGCATAGTGCGAACGTCCCTGCCATCAAATATGCGCATTGCTTCCAAAAAACACGTTTTGGCTCGAGCTTCCTCAAAAAACATAGCGCGAACCTTGACTGATTGCCCCTGCCAGTAAAAGCCAAAAAAAGCGCACGGCGCCACAGCGAGAGCGCACCGCCAGTGGTAACCCCAATTTCGCGCGGGGCTGAGACTGCCGCATCGAAGACAGCTTTATACAGTCATTGCCAACACATTGAGCACGAACCCTCGACCTAACCCAGCACATTGAGCGCGAACCCTCGACCTAACCCAGCCTTAGTTAACTCTTACTGGAAGAACCCCGTAGTGTAAATAAACACTATTGTAACCATCCCTACACAAACCTTAAGCCAACTTAAGCCAACCATAAACCCACGCTAAAGAAACCCAGGCCCCCTGTAAAGAAGCCTTGAACCCACCCTAAACTTAGCCTGGGCCAAGGCTTTCGGTGACAAGGGGCGCGGGGATGTTGACGGTGCTGGTCCAAGTCTAAGACAGGCGCAAACACGCTGTAAAAGAGAGCATTTGCGTGACCGCAAAGTCTAGGAGAACAAGCCTACCGAACAGGAACAAAACATCTTCCGACTTTCGCATCGATGCCTTTTGTTCGCTCTGATGTTTTTGACTTTTTGTTTTGCTCCTCCCTTGCCTGCTGTTTATGCGTGATGGCGTGAGGTTTTGGCTTCTAGTGCTTTCTTTGAAGGCGCAGGGAAGAATTATGCATCGCACTGGCAAGTTTTGGGTGACCTTGATAGCTGAGGTCGGCTCGTTGTCATATCGTGTATCTGAAAAAAACAATTCCAACTACCCCCAAGGGCGACTCGTCGATACGAACCCCCCCCTGATACGAACCCCCCCCCCCGCTTGGGGCAGTGTGCCGACAAAATGCTCACCCGCAAGCTTGCCGACCTAAGAACTTGGACTCGTCATGCACAAATGCCCCAGTATTTGACCTCGCTTTGCGAACGACATGCACGCATGATCTGCCCCGAGACCTTGCCAAGACTTCTCATCTTGCGCAAGACCCTGCAAGTGCTTTTCAACAGGTCCTTTGAAGTCCTCGAAGGTCCTGCGCAGGACCTTCTGTATAGGTCCTCTTGAAGAGCTGCTCCGCATGGCTGTCCATCACAATCCTCCCAAGAGATCTTGCGCACAGCCCCCTGTTATTGCAGAATCTTGTCCCGGACCCGGTGTGCAGCTTCCAAAAAATTTCTCCTGCAAAATGTTGTGGGCCTTGTATACAGATCCTGTGAAAAAGATTTTCCACAGGGCTTGTAGGCATATTTTCAAGAGATCTCTTGCAAGACTCCTACACAAAGAGCTGTCAGCAACAAATCCAGCAGAAGAACTTTCCAATATGAATCTAGATCTTGCGCCCATAGCTTATAGAGGACTATCCATCGAGACCTCCCCAAGAAACCTTGTACACAGATTCTGCTTTGAGATCCTGCGAGGGGTCTCGTGCGGGAGGTTACAAGTGATTTGGAAAAAAGATACGCTCTGAGGAAGGGATCTGGCGCAGGACCCTCTGTAAACCACCCTGTAAAGATCCTTTGTGAAGCACTTTGCTAAGAGACCTTGCATGCCACATCCCTTGTTGGAGCTCCTCTGGCTCCGTGGTCCTTGTTTCCAATTCGTATGATTTTGGGCCCCCAAGTCTTTTCACACTGTTGTGTGAAGGCACTGATTGCCAACGGGGTGTGGGGAGGGAGGGATGCATCCCCCCCCCGCCAAAAACAGAATCGTGACTTCTGTTTTGGCTCCCTCAAACTTCCCCAAAGGGCATTGTGGTTGTAAAAACCACTCTGATTTTAACGTATCAGTGCGCGACCTCATCGTGGTGCGCTGCAGGCAGAAGTGCTGCACAGCGCAGTGACCAACACTGCGATCACGATTGGTGGGCCGCTTACCAAAGGGGCCCTGGCCTTGGTGCAAAGGATGGGCTTGGTGAAATGGCGCATGTGTCGTTTGCCATTGCGGGGTTAACCCAATGGTTGCATTTATATACCAACAATATGTTTTGAAGCAACGCCCAGGAGCAACAGAGAACGAACAGATAAGAACTGGAGATTTCTCTGCAAAGAGAATTAATCCTCCGTCATATGTTGTTCTATCTCTCCCTTTTTGCCCATCTATTTACTCAAACAGTCTCACCCAAATGCTCTTCAGCAGCGCGGTACTCAGCGGCACCAGCGCCCGAGCAGATCTCACGCTTTGCGTGTTTCAGCTTGTGCCCGGTAAACAAGAAATCCACCGGCAAACCTCAGACAGCTTTTCCGCGGCAGCCACGGCCTTGCTGTGGCCTTGCTGCGGCCAAATCGCCGCTCCAAGCCCCGAGCCGCCGAGCCGTTGGGCTCGCGAGCGTGTCGAGGCCACCGCGCTGATCTTTGGGCACGGGTTGATGTGGGAGCACTTCTTGCAGCAAGACTTCGAAGTTGGGATCTTCATGGAGGATGATGTTACTGAGGCGCACGGTGGGGCGAGGGGGAAGGGAGGAGGGCGTGTCTGCTGGCACTTGGCAGGAAAGGCAACATGACACGATTAAGAACCCCACTCATATGGATGGTTCTTCTGATTGATAGCTGGGGCTATCCACCAAGTCGCAAGTAAGGACAAGCCACAAGAGGTTTTTATCGGGAACATTAAGCCCCACACACTCAGAATGCACCGTTGTCATACCGTGAGCCAGCCGGCGTCCTCCCTTTTTTTGGGGGCCTTCGAGAGAAAATCAATCAAAACTGTCATTTTGCAAGTGCCCTTAATTGGACACAAACTCACACGCTGGTTTCTCTGCATCCAGCCTCTGCTTGTTGCACCGTTGGACAAAGGCGCCTGCAGAGGAAACTTGCCGAAAAAGCAGCCTAAGGGTTGAAGGGACCCGATGTGGCAGAAGGTCTGACTTCTGCTCGTGCGGTTTGAACGGACGTCAGTTTTTGCCTCGGCAGCGTCGTTTTGTCAGCAACAAGTTCAGCCACAGACCCGCACACTCGCTTTTCAGCAGGTGCATCCGGGCCTCGAGAAGTTTTTGTGCGACTTGGTCGACCGCAGCGACTGGGATGTGGTGCAGCTCCAGTACGGCGATGGGACGCTGGTGAAGGACTCCGGAGATTGGGGCCATGGGTTTTGGGCCCGGACGGGGCCAGGGTGCAGACCAGAAGAGAAGGCTGCAGGATGGCCGGACTCGCAAAGGCCTTATGATCACGGTTGAAGGCTTGCAGCAACCAACCTAGTCTAACCTGTCGGAAGAGTCTATGTCAGAGGCGAACACAGTTCAGATTGCTCACTTGTGGTTTAAGCCGGGGGTACGCTCAAAAGCTGCTTGGCAAGCAACCACTGCAAGTTTCCCGCAACTCCGGTCAGCTTAACCACCTGCCAGTCTTGCCTCGCCCAAGTGCAGCGGGGAGCAATTTCAGCTGCCGAAGGATTGAATTGCAAGAGGCAATCTTTGGCGCGGGCGCCTGCGGTTGGACAAAGACGAGGAGACGTTGTAGAATGTTGCGCGCAACATCTCTACATCTCGAGATTGGCGGGGAGGGGGGGTGAAGCCAGCGGGACGGAAGGTCATTCAGCAGGCCCTGGTGCAATGCCTCGCAAAGCGGCGTGGATTCACCCCAGGCCGAGCAGATGGATGGCGGTAGAGGAGAAGAGCTTCACTGAGCAAGTTATATGGGTGGCGAAGGGCACCACCGACAGTCTGCGAGCGAATGGACCCGGAGTAGGGCTGGTGACTGCACACGCCGACGCGGGCTAATTAGCATGTGTCCAACCATGGTGGACTGAAAATGCAGTCAGGACCCAGTGCCGGTCTTTTGCCAGTTGTCCGTGCTGTGAGGTCCTTGTTCTTTGTGTTTATTCTTTTTCTGGGCGTTGCCTGTCTGGAAGAAGGTTATACTCCATCACCCTGCTTTGGGAATCGGAGGCCTTTGGTGCGCATCGTGTTTATGCCCACTAATCATTTTTGGTGGTGTTTCCACTAAGGTTTCGGCCATCCCCTGCAAGCATTGCAGGTTATGCCTTGTGTGTTTACGGTGTGGTTGCTGCTTCCTTGTAAGATGTGCAAGATGCTCAAATTTGAGTCGACCAGAGACAAAGCCGTGAGTTGTGTTTGAATCGTGCTGATGGTGTGCGCATCACCGCGTGGCTCCGTTGGATTCGACTCGCCGAATTTGAGCCTAGCTCCTTGGGTGCTCCCCATCGGGAGCACCACATGATTGATTTCCGGTAGGTTGCCTTTCACACACCATCAAGCAGAAGCCCTGTGTTGCTGAGGCGTCGTGTTTGAAACCAAAGTGTGATCTCGCGGGATAACATGGCATGGCTGGCCCGAACGGAACAGGGGATTCTCATGCTTAAATCGGGCCAGTGAGAGCGAGCAGCACTGTTGTGTCCCCAAAACGGTTAGAGCTTGTGGGGACTTGGGCGGCTCACTAAAACTCGTGGCTCACATGAAAATTGGGGTCCTACGAGAGTGGGCCTACCGGTGGTTTGAGCGTCTTGATGTAACTAGTGTTTAAGAAACCTCCCATTGGTTTCCTTCACGGGGGACATTATCTGTTATCTGTTTGTTTCAGCCACTTTTGCCCAACCTGGCATTCGCTCATTTGCTGCGCAGGAGCAGGACTTGACGCTGGAGCACCGCTCCGCGTGGAACACGGGAATGCGCCTTGGTTTGGGGTGTAGCTGAATCCAATTAGCAGCGCCGATAGCATTCATTCGCAGGGTGTGTAATCAAACAAGAGGGGGTTTGGATCACTCCCTTTGGACAGCACCTTTTAGGACATTTGTGTTCCTTGTGGGAGGAGCAGGTTGGCAACCTGCAGGATCTCACGCCTACATGCCGCCAAGCAAGAATGCGAACAATGCTGCAATGCAACAATTATACTTACTGTGGTCCGCTTGCAATTGGCAGATCCAACCTGGAAGCTATTTTGGCACTTCAAATGCCATCCTCCATAGTTCCACACAAAGGGTCATATATGCCTCGCCGCCAAGGTACCTCCTCACCAAGTCTGCCGCCAGGCAAGCTCAGAATTTGATCCGGGTAACCCCTGGTTTGATAAAAGGGGCCAATGTCGAGCCTTGAGTCATTCTGTCAGCTCACTGGGCTCGATTTGGTGTGGCCGTCTGGATGCCGCGAATGTTCGAACTGTTTCATCATTCCACAAGTGCGCCCCAGTATCAGGTTAGAAGGTTAGAGGCTGCTTGGTTGCCGTGCTTGTGGACTTGGGGTGGGGGTGAGTCCTGCAACTCCATTTCTTTCCATTTGCATAGAACTACATAGCGGCCCCTAAAGCTGGGGGTGGGTGCGGCCAGACGCAGCCGTAACTGTCCGTCGCCAGGCAGCTGCTCCAGCGACTTGACTTGGACGGGCGGGAGGGGGAGGGTGGCGGGGTGGCGCACGGGCAAATTGTACCGAGCTCACTTGGAGCGTAGCAATTTGCTCAGAGGGTTGTATCAAGGCCTGGCTGCCTGGCCGACTGGTTGCGCCTGTGGGGGCCAACAGGGACCCCTTTGATAGTCACGAAGGAATTCTCTTTTTAGTATCATAGAAATTGTCATGTGACGAGAAGGCTTGAAGGAAGCGAAGCAGTCCCTTGCAAAAAGCGAGGCTTGGCACGCTCTCCCCAAATGAACGAGGATGAGCAAGATTTTGCGATAACTTCTGGGGATCGGAGCTGCGCCAGTAACCTGAGCTGAGGCGCCAGTTCCCGATCGGCCACTTCTGCAGTAGCCAGATAGACGACCCCGGCTGCCCGATTCGCTCCCTGCGGAACTTCGTGTCGCAGCCAGCGGCTGCTATGCAGACGGGCTCCCGGGTGGACTCCGACGTGCAGATCTTGGGGGCCTTCCTGCAAACCGCCAAGCGCCTCGGTTCAGAGCAGTTTTATGGAACATAGCTGGCACTGGTTTGGTTTCGCTTCGGCTTTCTGTTGAGGAATCGTTTGCCATCTATTTGTCGAGGACACCTTGGTAGGAGGAAAGAAGGTGTTGGTGTATTCTAGATGAGCCACAACTTGGCCCCTCCGAAGCCCAGCCTCTTCCGCCCAGGCTGCGGGACTGCCCCAGCCTGGCCGTGTCCAAGATGCACCGCCCTGAGCTGCACTCCCCCTTTGCCTGAGCCCAAAAGACCCGAAGGTCCAACGCACGACTGCAATGAACCCATCGCGTTACAGGCCCCTCTTGTTATTATGGCGAATGGGCTGACGTGCAGTTGACACGTCACGGGCTCCGTAAAAACACCCACCTGCAAAGAGCCTTGCGGCTGAGCTGGCAGTTCTCAGTAGCTCTGCACGAGGGTTGCGAGGTGGGGAGTGGCGCATGTGGCGCTTCGCTCGCCGAGCAGGGGCCGCGTGACAGTTTAAGCCTGGGATGACCTCAACCACCTTGCGGAATGGTGGGCTCCCCTGCTGCAAGGCTCCTCAAGGGGGTCTGTCATTGCTACCTTGCGCTGCGACTCATGCAGGAAAAAGCCTGTTGGGCAACATGTGTGGTCAGGACCGAAGGTAGCTCTCAGGAAAGATCTAGTAACCCTAGTGATCGGCAGCTAGCGTTGGAACTGCGGATTGTCCGCAGGAGGCAGTTAAACCTATCTGTCGGATCCATTTGATGCTGAGCGCATGGGGACGTGATGTTTAGCTTGCCGCTACGACTGACAAAGTTGGTCAAGGCAGGCCCGACCTGTCGGGACCAAAGGTGTGCGCGTTGGCCTTCGCCTTACCTCCCTTCGGAGAATGGGTTTGGGTTCCGAGCACGTGCCAGGCAATGGGAGTGAGGCAGCCGCCTCGCTTGGCTGACATCTTGCGCAGCGTTTCCACGCAGGGCTTTCATGGTTGGCGTGGTTTCCTTGGAGTTGACTTACAAGATGACTTTCCGGCAAGTGATCACCTGGGTTCCATCGCGCGGGTAGCACGCCCAAATGAAAGCTCAGTAGGGAAACCTCCTTTGCTGGAAGCGCGCCTCCATGGAAAAACATCAAGCCCTCAGCCAAACACGCAGCCCAAGTTGAGTCGCAGTCACAAGAACCCTTGGCTTGCCATCTTTTGTAGGAAAGCGCTGTTCCGATTTCCCTTTCGGTGTTTCAGGGTGTCAAACACTAGATGTGTTCTCAGTTCTTGGATCCACTTATGCCCCCATACCCATGGCCAGCCAGAAGTCCATTGCAGCTCCCTCACTTCCTCAGGTCAGGGTGCAACATGTGATCTAACATGTGCCTCCGGGACCCCACCACTTTGAAGCAGCAAGGGCAACTGTATTTGTTGGTGCCATTCGCGACTGACCTATACTCATGTCCGTTTCCAGATGTTAGCTGTTTGAGAGCCCCACCATCCTTAGAAGAAGGCGCTTGTGCAGGGCTAAAATCCAGCTGCATGAATACTGTACACAGGTCCCAGGTTTGTGGGCGGGGAGCTGCGCCCCTCCAGCGCCATGTTGACCAATTCATACCATTTCCATTTTGCCTGGAGCCTGAGTGGGGGTTGGTGGAATACCCTTTGCTGTGTTTCATGTTACGGTAAGGAGAGTGTCCTACTTTCCTGGTGGGGTTGAGCCAGCTATCAAGAGCCGATGCCCAATCTCTTGTGGCACCCAGATGTGAGAAGAAGCAGCGTGTTGCCAGCAAGGTGACCGAATGCTCTTTTTTTCTTTTGGGTAGGTTCCTGACTGATGTCCACTCCTGAAAGGCAGTACAGTTCAGACGACGTAGATATCTCGGCGCACGAGGTAGTGTCCAATGTGCTTCGCCCTGTGGAGAGGGCGGAAGTGGCAGAAGCTGCTCTTGGGAGCAAGCGCAGCGGCCGGACAAACAGCGTGCGTGGCTGGACATTTCGCGAGAAAGGAAACAGACAGCAAGGAGTCCAAACCTGGCAAGGAGTATGACAGAAGCCTAACTCTCCACGCGGGAGGAACTCTCCATCCTTGGCGCTGGCAAGACAGGTGTACCGAATCGTTGTTTGTGGCCGACGTGTTTTGAAGTGACAGGCCATTTGTGGAGTAAGAGGTATCCACCAAACGGAGAGTCGCAGGTCGTGCAGGGGGAAGGCTGGTCCACGAGCCAATGCCGAAGTTGACTCTCAAGCCGCCTGAGGTCCCCCTCTTGGTCTATCCGCCCAAGACGCACTGATCATCCCTCGGAGCACAACCACCCGCTGTTTTTAACATCTTGGTCAGCTCTTTCTGTGATTCATTGTTTGTTGTTATGGGCCCTTGGCTGCGGGGCGGTCGTGTATTTCCTCTGTGCCTGGCGGCGCAGAGGTGCATCCTCCCAATGCAAGTAAGTAGTCCAGCGGCAAAGTCGCGGCGATCCGTAGTCCAAGCTTCAACCAGTTGGCGATTTGTGCCAATTGTTTTCCTCTTGCATAGCTGCTCACTGCTCCCCAACAATGACACGCCAGACGAGGGATTTGATTTTTATCGACTTGATCGTTTTCCCCTCGTTTCTCAAGTTTAGTGTGCTGAGCTCAGACCCCAGACCCTCAGTGCCCTGTTTCGTTGCAGTGGTTTCCCTTTACATCTAACAACAAAGGGGCACAGTTTTTCCCAGGGTCACCTGGAGATCTGGGAGACAGACATGCCCACTTGGCTGATTTCGCTTCGCTATGCCTGGCACGCGCAGATCCTGCCCGCAGCCATCACGGCTTCCGGCAGAGAGCTTTGGGCCCCGCTTGGGCGTAGCTGTAGGTTTGTGGGAAGCTTGCTTCTGAATAGTTGGGCCACATGGGGAATCACATAGCCGCGGCCTCGAAACGCCCAACAAGGATTTGAGGGCAAAGGGTAGTGGGGCAGAATTAGCAGGATTTGGCAGGTGAGTTGCTGCTGTTTAGCGGCTTTAGCGTGCAGCATAGACATAGAACCTACATGTTACACCATGAAATAACTCTAATCATCTCCAAATTGGGGAGGGCTTCACTCGGGGTTGCCGGACGATTCTTGATGGTTGAGTGATTAGTGGTGAGCACAAGTCGGGTTCTTGTGTTTCGTTTTTTTTGGTAGTCGAGGGTTGAAGGGGAATGTGGGGAAGCAGTTGGGCGGCAGTATGTTTTCAACAGCTTGGTTCCCTAAGTTCACCGAGCCGAAATGAGCACTCAGGGATGCTGCGGAAACACCAACGTGGAGGAGCCGGAAAGCGCCCGGGGCCTCGACTAGTGTCTCCGTGGCTTCCCGGGGCTGGAGGCAAAGGAGCTCTGCCACTTTGGGCCTATGTCTTTTTCTTGCTACAGACCTTTGTCAAATTTCCAGGGTTGATACGCGACGGCAGTCTTCTTGCCAAAGTGCAAACAAGTTGTCTGGCTTGCTTGGCACCCGCCCCGTGCCATCAGATGGCAACGGCGCCCAAGAACCAGACAGAGGATGCGGAGGAGGAGGACGGATAGAAGGGAATTGAATTACCAGTTGTGCGCGCAGGTCGGCTTGGTGTGTGTGTTTGTGTGCGCTTGTTGGGCTTAGCGGCTGAGTTAGCGACTATGGAACTAGACGCCCCATTTGTTTCAGTAAATTGCCAGGGCATTTTAGCTGAGCCAGTGTCCTTTCACCAGCAAGCCAATGAAGTTGGGCAACAGGGTGTGAGAAGTCCCCAAAAAGAGTGGTGTCTTTGGATTCCGCGTTGTACCACCTCCAAGCTGGTGTCCCCCCAAAAACGACGCACCCGCTGAGCGCATGATTCGTGGACGCTTGGCGTCTTCATGTGGCTGAAATTCGTCTGGAAGTGGGGGGAGCTGAACAACAAGCTGAGCATAAGTTGGTTGCCCCTTGCTGTGGCCTTCGGCCTTCTAAGCGGGTGCAGAACATGAGACAGCTGCCATACAACATGGCCTCACTTGTCAAAGTAAGCAGCTGGACAATCCGCTTGGGGGGGGTTCCATTGTGTAGGCCCATGCTAACCAGCTCCAGAGCCCTTCACAACTATATAATTGCCCAACAGATTTGAGGTCTGACCGGCTAACAGGTTGTGCGCCTTGCTCACCTGGACTGGCAACACACAACCACCTTGAAACTCTTTGCCCATGGGGCTGTTTGGGTGAAGTCTTGGGCCCAACCCCCACGCCTTTTGCGGGCATTAGTGAGACCTGAAGCTCCCAACGGACCTTGTACTATCCATATCCACCTGCATGCAGACACCCATCCCTTGCTTGAACCCACTCTATTCATTGCATTGCCTTGCCAAAACGGTGGAACCGAACCGATCGGCAACAGACCAGACCAGACCAAGCCGAACGGTGTTCTGTGAGGGGCATCGAAACCCAAGGGCATACCTTTCGTGCGTGAACAAAAAAAGCAGACCCCCTACCAAGCGCAACATCCCGAGAAGAGGGGCCTTCAAGGAACTGCGAATGTCGCAGTCCAAATGTGGTGGGCCCAAGGGACCAGGGAGCTTGGCAATGCTATTTGCTTGCAAATGTTCTCCGAGGCCGTTTCTCGAGGATGTGATTTAGACAAGGTGAGGGTCATGGGCCATGGGCCTTCCTTTAACATGCCACGGCTTCGCTCGAATCAAGAGCCAGGGCAATTGCCCCAAGCCCGTCCAGGAGCAGGTGGTGGTGACCCCCGGCAAACAAGGCACGTGCATCGGGATCCATCAGAGGAAGCCTGGCCGAATGGCAGAAGCTCTGCCCTCCTGCCCCCACTCCCCCCCTCCCCTGCCCGACAAATGCCATGATCGCATGTCTGTTTTGTTTTCGGGCGAGGTGAAAAGAGGGATACTGTGTGAGCGTTCGCAGCTGCTAGGCCCAGGGAGGCAACGCCAATAGCTCAATATTCAAGATTGGCCCATCGTATGGTTTGCATGCCCTTGGAACGTGAACCAACCGGCAAACATGTGTCTTTTTTGTCCATGGGGCTTTCTGCCCGGTGCGTTGCCCTTCTCCAGGCGAGAAAGCCGTGATCGAGGCAGGGCCGGGCAACGCGCGTAACGTGTATATTAGCTCCGCTAAATGGGGTGCGACAACACATTTTCGCGTCAAGGACTTTGTTTGGCCCCTTTGTTTCACGGCGCAGTGTCAGGAAGGCTCTTGGCACCAGGGGGTGGGAACGCAGCGGTGCCAACCCCGCGAGGAAATGCTGCAAACCTAAGAAAGAAACCCAACGCCCATGGCAAACAGGATGGCTGTAGATTGGATGGTGCTCCAATAAGATTCCTGTGTACATTATTGTGAAACACATCTTGTGTGCAGGGACATGGCAGCGACATACGATTGCTGCAGCGCACAGTTGGGTTCAAATCCCAAGTGAAATATCATCGGCCCGCCATGTTTTGGAGTTCACGGCCTGGGACGCTTCACGTCGGCGTCTACTCGTCACCTTGAGTTGAAACCAGGCATATTCTTGTGGACTCCTTGGAGTTGAAGCCTTGTGAGGTTCTGCAGAGATTCTGTGCGGGATGCTTTCTCAGATTTGTCCTGAGACGCGCCGATTTGTAGGTGTTTGCTTTCGACTCTGCTCTCGCTGGCAGGGCATGGGTCAATCCTGAATGTTAAAATGCCGCCGCCAACCCCCCCCTTTTTTCCCCTGGTTTGTTTGCTGCGGGTTGTTTGGCTTCCTTTCGGACGAGGGAGGCATGAGTTTTGCTGCGCTTGACAGGTTTGAGATTTGCTGAAATGAGCATGTTTTTTGGATGTGCAAGTTTTTGCTAAGTGGTCATGGAGGGCCTTTGGAATGCCCTGCGCTCGTCCGGCCAAGAATCTTTGGCCCCGCTGTTGCTTCGCCATGGGGTGCGGAGCGTTGCAGCTGTGCAGCTGCAGTCCTCTGAGTTGATAGAGGCGGGTGTTCAACCGTGGCAGGTTGAAGCCATTCTTGTCGGGTGCACTCAGCAGGCAGTTGCCCCAGCCGTTGGCCTTAGGCGTGACTTGCCGGCCCCTATTTCTGGCAAGCGAGCCGATTTAGTTGCTGCCCTCGAGGCTGCAATGCCCAACCAAAGAGGATTCGCACATACTTGGCAATTTGCCACGCGTGGGATTTGGAGCCTTGGCCGCTGTCTACGCGGAACGTTCGCGCCTTTGCAGCGAGTCTCAAGCACGGTGGCTACCATAGCTCTGCTGTCTATTTCCAAGCGCTGTGCAGCCATCAACAACGGTCTTTGCAAACAGTGGTACCTCCCTTGATTCGGCATTGCATTCGAGATTGCATTCGCTCTATTCAGAGGGGGCTCGGTGTGAGTCGGTTGAAGGATAGCTTCAGCTTCTTGCAGGTGGGTTCCATCCGTTTTTTGGAGGATGCGGGCCCATTCAGTTTCAATTCTCTTCCGCATGCACGCGACATGTGCGTGATTGGCGGGTGGTTCATGCTGCGTGAATCTGAACTGGCCTCGGCTCAGTTGAGCCACTTAACCTTGGACGCGTCCACGGTTCGGCTCATGATACCCTTGCACAAGACCGACACCCATGGCAGATTGGTGGAACGCTGCCTGTCGTGCTCCTGCCGCATCAGGCAACATGGCCTGTGCGTTTTGCACGCAGCTGGGCGGCATCTCGCCCGTGTGCAGGCCAATTTGGGTGACCGTAGCGCCCACCTCTACCCCTTGTTTCCTTCTTGCGACGGACAGCGGCCAGCAAGGCCTGCTTCATCGCAGCGATCAGGCAGGTGATTTCGGCAACCGGAACGCCGTTGATGCGCCTGGACGCTGCTGGGAAGTAGCTCAATCGTTTTGGTGGCCACGTCCTCCGGGTCAGTGGCGCTCAGATGCTTGCTGCAGCTGGAGTTAGTATACAGCTGATACAGCTGCTTGGACGCTGGACTTCTGTGTCTGTTCAACGGTACACCCAGGATGCGGGGCTTGCCGTGGTTCCTGACATTCCGAAAGCTGTGCTACATCCTTTTGACGGACCCGACAATGGTATTTCGCTTGAGCCGGTCATCAGAGGCCTGCCTCCTGAGGTGTCGAGCGTTCCCAGCACAGTTGCTCTACAGCCTGCTCGGGCTCAGCGTGCTGAGTTGCCTTCGTTGCAGGTTGCAGCGCCAAGCATGCAGGATGTTCAGGCTCTTCGGAGCGAGTTGGCGGCCTTGAAGGCTGCGGTTGACAGGCCAAACGGCGCCTTTGTGGTCAGGTGTCGTTCTCGTGTGGCTCATCTCGGTTTTCTGCACGAACTCTGTGGTTGGGTTTACGGCGCAGCAAATTTTTTGCGGGTGGCTGAGATTGCACCACCTTTGAGGAAGTGCCGTAAATGTTTCCCGGACCTTGGTTCGGGGTCAAGTGACGGGTCTTCCAGCCCGTCTTCGTCACTGGTGTCATCCAGCGAGGAGAGTTCGGATTGACCAGCAGAGGTAGATCTTGAAAGCTTGAAAACGCTGCATTTAGGTTGCTGGCGCGTCATTGCGCTTGTTTGGCCTCTTGCCCTTGCCAGGTTTTCTAGGCACGACCTTTGGCTCATGCGAGTTATATGTTTGTGCACTCAGCTGACCCAGCTGGATAGGAATCATGGCGGCTGGGTCTTTGCCCATGCCGGCACTCAGTGACCTGCTGCACGATGCTGCGGCTGGTGACACTATCAAGGATTACCAAGTCGCACTACGGCCTCATCGTCCCTTTGACCTCTGGCTGGGAGTGCGCAGACGGTCGCGCCCCGACGTTGGCGGCCTCGGAGAAGCCAATCGCTCAAGCCATCCTGCAGCACATATGGAACGAGGCGAGGGCAGGTTGGGACCGTCAGATGGCAGCAAACCTAAACGCGGTTGCAGCCACGGCAGCTGCTGCTTCTTCCGGCTCCGCCCCTGCGGCGTCACCTGCTGCGGATGACAGGGTGCCCAAGCAGTTGCCGGCAAACGTGTGGTCTTCCCTGAACGATTACCAGTCACAGCAGATCGGAGGCTTTGATCGGGTTTTCCCAGTCAACGAACTGCTGGGGGCTGAGCGCATCGTGGCAAGGGTTTGCCACGAACACGTCGTCAGCGAGAACTATGGTCCTATCCATCTAGGCGAGATCGTGGCAGCCCGCACATTCAGTGCTAGCGGAGAACCAAACCCCTTGGCCAAGAAAGATCGCGCTGCTACAACTCTGACCGTGACAGGTGACAAGCTGGTGTCGGCCCCAGAGGAGTTGTGGTCGCCTCGCAGCGTTTTGTCCGTGATTGACGGCCTCAACAGCATCTGCTGGTGCATGATTTTGCTGAAGTTTGGTTCCGAGCAGGTCACCCACGCGTTCTTTGACTGGTTGGTGAAGATGGCAAGGAGCCGACCGCAGAAGACCGAGCAGTTTGGCCAGTTCTGGTTGACAGTTGCTTGGAAGCTCGCCACAGAGCTTCGTGGGGGGCAGACCTTTGACGCTGCAGTTGCCCCGATCATGCGAGATTACGACACCTTCACAGAGTGCATGTCTCGCGAGCCGCAGTCCACCCTCCAAGAGGTCCACGCAAGGCTTTTTCCAAGTTGCGGCAGGCGCAGCGGCCGCAACCGTGGTCCGCGAGCGTCTTGGGCCCAGTCTGAGCCCAACGCAGCTCGGTGGTCTTCTGAGGCCAAGCCTGACTGGGCAACACAGTTGGTGGGGGGCTTCTGATTGGAAGCCAAATAGGGACAGCCCGGGGTCCCCGCTCCGAAGGCGGCGGGGACACCCGACCTTGGCCATGTGGTCGACAACAGGGCCTCCTTTGCCGAGGAAACCAAAGATCCGCCTGACACCAAAATGCCTCCGTGCAGCCTCAGGGCAGTGATGTGATTTTGCTGAGCTGCTTTGATGGGATCGGCGCTTCAGCCTTTGTGCTCTCATCCCTGGTTGGCAAGTTGTTCATGTTCGTTGCGTGGGAGATAGACCCAGAATGTGTGCTGGTCGTCAAGAAGCACTTTCCTGACGTGCTGCGTCGCGGTGATTTCATGGATGACCGGCCCTTTGATGTGATCAAGCTGGTGTGTGACGCCGACCCTTCAGCCACTAAGACTGTGGTGATGGCAAGTGCTCCTCCGTGTCCAGACATCAGCTGCATTAGATCAGACGCACCTGGACTGACTGGGCCTGAAGGTCAGATTGCAGGTTCGTGCGCGAGATTGAGAAGGGCATTCAGCCTCGTCGTGTGCTACGCCTTGTTGAGAACGTGGTCTTGGGTGACAAGGGTGAGGCCGACTTTTTCAGTGTCGAGTTGGGGTGTCAGGCAGAGCTGATTGATGCTGCAGATTTTGGGCTAGTCAGCCGGCCTCGACTCTGGTGGAGCCGTATCCCGTGGTTGTCGGCCCCCACCAGTCCCTTCACCGGCAAGCCATTGCAGTGGTTGAAAAACCAACGCTATCACCAGGTTCACGGTGACGCAGCCTTGCAGCGACCTGAGTCGCTGGAGCTTGGTGGTTTGGCTCTTCACCCAAAAGTTGCTGCTCACGAGTGCCGGTTGCCATGTTTTACCGCACCAGCCCCGACAGAGGCCGGGAGAGCCGCGCCTAAGAAAATGAAGGGTCGTTTGCGCCCTGAAGTCAAAAGCCGGTGGCTCTGTGACGCGCGCACGTTTGCGCCTTGGCACTGCACACAGGAGGCCCTGCTCCGAGATCCATCTGGTTCCTTGGTCCGGCACGGGTGAAAGAGCAGCTGCGTTTCTTGCCGCCGGATTACACCAATGTTCAGGGCATCTCTGAGAGGTCGCGGCATCGCACGGTTGGCAACGGGTGGCATGCTGGGGTTGTTCGTTTCCTGATGCTGCTACTTGCAACTATGACACAGCCTTCGACTTCGGCTTCGCCTGTTTCCTGCGTTCGTTTAACCACTCTGCACTGCAGCGGGTTGCCGAGTTGATGCGGCCCTTGGCATCTCATGTGGGCCCTGGCCAGTGGCCAAGGCAGCCCAGTTGCATCCCACCTGCACGTGACTTGTGTGATCATTGGCGCCTAGCCACAGCAGTACAGTATCCAGCTCGCTTGGCGCCTGGCTTTGTTCAGTGCATTGAACTTTAGCTGCGCTGGCGAGCTGATCTTCCCCGGATCCGCTCTGAGGTGGTTTATGAAATTCAGCAGCTGGTTGCAGACTGGAGCGAGAAGACTCAAGACTGGTGGTTGGAGCTTCAGCTGAGCTTGCAGCAGGTGTACTTTGACCCCGACACGGGCCAGATCATGCAGATCCCCCTGCTTGTCTACTTGCTGGAGCTTTTCCGTTTTCCGGGCTTGCATGAGTTGTCGCACGACCTGTCCAATGGTTTCGCGCTCACAGGCAAGCTCAACGGGCGCTCGGGGTGGCCACCTCGGACTGACTCTCGCTATTCCTTTCCCACACCCAAGCAGGTTTTTCAAGCCCACAACCGCCACCATGTGCTTGGGAAGCTTCGTTCGGGGCATCTTGACCCAAACTGGTGCGTGATGCTTGAAGAGCTACGTGAGGAACTTCGGCTTGGGCGCATGTCAGGCCCGTATGCGGCCCCATCCTGGTGGCCAGTTTCGGCAGTTGCACTGGATGGTTCCCGACGAGCAGATCACGGCTTCGTTTTGCTTCAGCGTTGTGCAGGGCGACAAGACGCGCCGTTGCGAGGACTTCAAGAGAAGTGGCTTGAATGACACAGTTGAGGTTCATAATGCTCCTCATCATGATGACATTCCTGTGTACGTTGAGCTAGTCAAGGCGTTTGCTGCTTTGGGCTGCCCGGCCAAGCTGTGGGCGCAAGATCTCCACGGCGCATACCGCCAATTTGGCTTGTGGGATCCGGCCGAGGCATATTGCATATTGATTCTGCCATCTGGTCCTCTCCTTCTTCGGCACCATGCCTTGAGCTTTGGCGCGGTTGGTTCTGTTTGGGGCTTTTTGGCGCAGTTGGTTCTGTTTGGGGCTTCAACCGCGCAGGCGATGCTATGTGCTTTTTGGCCAGGCGTATGCTGATGGGGACAGTAGGGCACTACGTCGACGATTTTGTTGGCGTTGAGATGGAGGATTTGGCGGACAGTGGCCTCACATCTTTTGCAAATGCCTTTGCTGCGCTTGGGCTGCGCATGAAGGCTGCAAAGACTCTTCCTCCTTCCAGCAGGCAGAAGATCTTGGGGTCCTGATCGAGGTAAGTGGTGATGCTGTGACCTTAGCCAAGCTGCTTGCCATGCTTCGCAGCATTCTGGAGCGGAGTCGGTTGACTGAGGTCGACGCACACCTCCACGTTGTTTGGGCAGCTTGGGCAGGCTGTTTTGCATCCCATCTACTCTCGTGCTCACCATGTTGGTTGTCAGGATGATGGGCATGGTTTGAATGACACATTGAAGATGTCTCTTCAGACCCTTTGCCGCCTGTTGGAAGAGATTCATCCTAGAGTTGTTCCAGTTCACCCCCAAGGCGAAGTGGCCTTGCTCCACACCGACGCATACTTCATGTTGGGTGATCGTGATCGCGTACTGCGTCCTGGCAGGGATAGCGTTCCGAGCCAATGGAATAAGAGGCGCGCGCCCAACTTTGAGAACGGTTGGGGCTTTGTGTGTCACTTGAATGGCCGAACATTCTATGCTGCTGGCCGAGTGCCTTCTCGGGCTCTTCGCGCTTTCTGTGGCCGGAAGGCTTTCATTTACTTTCTGGGAGTGGTGGCGCAATTTGTGGCTTTGGTGCTGCTTCGTGACACACTGCCCATGATGGTTATTAGCCAATCAGGCGGGGTTGTTTGCGCTTCTCAAGGGATATGGCAAGGACGCCCAGGTCAACAACTTGTTGACCCTTGTGTGGCGTGTGATTGGTCATTTCTCTTGGCATGTGCATTTCAAGTGGGTGCGGTCCGACCACAACATGGCAGACTCTGTGTCTCGATTCATGTTCAGTGATATGCGCTCCTTGGGGGCACACAATGTGAGTTTTGACTTGGACGCTTTCTATGACATCATTGTTCGCGCTGCCTTTGATCCGGAATATGCAAACGGTAGTGCTCTTGCGGATTTGCTGCTTCTTCAACCATGCTGCGTTCACCCCCGTCTTCAGGCACTGGCAGGGCGGTCAGGCAAGGGCCAGCGCGGTCAGAATGTGGCCCTACCTTGTGCCCATGGGTGAAGTGTTGGCATCACGGAAAAGAGGCACTTCGCCCTGCGCTTTGAAGACTGCAGCTTGGGTGAAAGCAGCATGTCGTGAAACACATCTTGTGTGCAGGGACATGGCAGCGACATACGATTGCTGCAGCGCACAGTTGGGTTCAAATCTCAACTGAAACCCACCCACTGGCCTGCCCTTGGTCGTGTGGAGTTTTTCAATTTCCATGGACCTGGCTCCAGGGGGCTGGTCAGAATGTGGCCCTACCTTGTGCCCATGGGTGAAGTGTTGGCATCACGGAAAAGAGGCACTTCGCCCTGCGCTTTGAAGACTGCAGCTTGAGTGAAGGCAGCATGTCCTCTTTGTAGGCGCGAGTGGGGCAAAAGTGACATCATGAGCCATGTGCGCCCTCGATCCAGATAAGCTCCCTGGGAGCAAGCCGCGCTGTGAGTATGTGAACACATGTTGAACAAGTGTTGGGCCCGGCGAAAAAAGAAAAGCAGCAAGAAGAAGAACACAAAGCGCTGCCAAAACTGGCTGCGCAAAACGTGCCCAAAAACGAGAGCGCCCCAAGAGAGCTTCCGCGGGCGCAAAAGGAGTCGAGAAATCGTTTGGCTACTGCCGGGCGCTGCCCGTGCTTGCAAGTTGCTTGAAGGCTGTCAGCAAGCATTGACTTCCTTGTATGGCTGTGTGGCATCAAGTTGGGTGCTGGAGAACGCTAAAATGACAATCTGCAACTCCAGAGTGCCAGCTTATGGGTCCATTCTGGAGAGGCATTTCCACGTCCGATATTGGGTTTGTGGAGAAAGCTATTTGGCCAGCCCCGCCCACGTGTTTTCTTTCTTGTTTGGAGGTGGTGCTAGGGCTGACGCCGCGAGGGGTCGGGCCCTTCGTTCTTTTCCCCATGTTGCGACGATCACTCCGCTAGATTGATGCGTGTCTGCAAGCGCGCGTCTAGAGGTTGCGCGTGTTTTTGCAGAATCACTGGGAAAGACTCAGCCCCTGTAGCCGGCTCCAGCTGGGATCATGGAAGAACATTGTTCCTGGACATGCCTTGTCGCGCTCTGTGGCAACATGCTGTGCAACATGTGCACAGCACAATGAGATCGGCCACCGCATGCGCGGTGGGCAAAACAGGAGTGGCACTAACCCCCCCCCCCCCCTACCCGCCCAACGAGTGGGCAATACGCACAACGAAGGCGTAAAGGGAGCAGGTGCCCTTTTTCATGTTGGTGTGGCAATCTGTGAAGGGATGCTTCAACCTGAAAGTCTTGATGTTGTTTTGCTTTGGCAACAAGTAGCAGGATAAAGTTGAGCAAAGTGCCGGAGCTGAGGAGACGAGCCCAAGAGGGGGAGTCATTTTCTTTGCCTCCCCCGGCCGTGTGCTTTTATCTGGCGCTGTTGCAGGCTGCCCCAAAGGCCAGACGGGCACGCGCCGCCTTGAGCAGGGGTCGATGAGTCACTTGTTTGGGACAGTTGTTTGTGTTTCATTATTGTTATCATCATGAATCATGTCTTTTATTCTTCTCCTCTTCCTTATGACTCCTATTACTTTGCTATTGTCGTTCTTATACGTTATGCATTTGTGAGAATTGGCAAGATATACATCAAATGTGCTCTTTCTCTCAACACATTTTTCCCACTTGGCGACTTTGAGGCCACTCCCGCAGGAAAACAAAGCCACCTTGAGTCGCCGTGTTTCAAGGGCGAAGTTTGTCAAGCACCATGACAGAGATGACGGACGCTCACCCTGAGCGAATCCAACCCATCGAGTTTCTCTCAGTTCACGTCCCAGATCCAGCAACACCTTGCGCCAGGGCGTGGAAGAAGATGCGCATGACCAGGCCGGCTCCCGCACTTCGCTCCCTCCTTGCTAGGGCTATGGGACAATCTTGGAAGGATTACCATCAAGGAAGCCATGACCGTGGCCCACGAAGTTCCTACTCCTGATTAACATTACCCCTCCCAAGTTTGAGAAGGCCAACAAATCTGGAATGCGGTAGATTGGGTAGCCGGCCTTGAATTTGGGGTATCCTTTATGAGCTTGTCAAACCTGGATTTGTTCAAAAACCGGCTAGCTGTTTTCATGGGTGTTCTTGCGGGGGGGGGGGTTTGGGCAAGCCTTCTGGCTGTCGGTGGGACAAATTGCCAGTCTTTTATTCGGGGGTGGGGGGTGGGGAGTTGGGGTATTGATCATTTGAAACATTATTAGCGAGTTTTGATCGTGGAACATTTGTTTTCGATCTTATCCGATCGCAATGCGACACGTGCGGCAACCACCAGCTGCTAGGCTCAGGGAAATCTCCCGTGCTACCGTTTTGGTTGAATCCCCCAACAAGCCAAAGCTGCACACAACCAGCCACTAATCACACTGTTTGCTTCTTTGGTTTTGTTGATTTCTTGCGGAGTTAGGAGAAACAAGCAAAAAGCTTTTGGTAACGTGCAGCAGTTGAGGAAGGCTTGCAAGGGACCTCGAAACACGCGAATTTGGATAGAATGCAAATAATCCGGAACAGATCTGGGCAACTTGAACTTACTTTGTCATTTGTTGCCAGAAGGTCAGGAAGTAGGAGTGTCAGATGGCCGATTCGTCGAAAGGTTTGCAACCCTTGGCCCAACGTGCCCCATGTACCCCGCAACGCCGAGAGACGAACCCAATCAAGAACACTGAAAAAGCGAGGACATACCAATATCAACAATTGTATCCATCATTACACGTATAATGTATATATCTATATATACATATGTTTATATACATGCACATTTATGCACGCGTACTACTGAGAGCCTTCCGCGGTACATGAAGCAGCGAAACACACTTCGGCTTGGTTGTTCAAAACCAATCCTTCATCCTTGTGCCGGAGGGCAGTGGCTTCCCTTGTTGCATTTGGTGTCCCACTACGGGATCTGGATTTTGGATATGGGATTCTAGACAGACGTTGCAAAAAAGGCATCGCCCTACTGCAAAGGAATCCATTTAAACAGTTCTCACCTTGTGATGCTTCAGTAGAACTGGGAAGTATAAGGACCCCAGCTTGGTCTCCTCCTTCCCCGCGCAAGGCCAAGGTTGCTCGGGCCATCTCTTCCTGCAGCCTGCAGGGTGCCCGGGCCCCTGTAGCGACCTCCAAGCGCCCGGGAGGGCACTGCGAAGAGTCCTTCCCATGGATTCTCTTGCGGCTTGCAAAGAGAACTCGCAAGACTTGGTGAGAACTTGGCCAGAAGGCGCAGCTCAAAGAACTTGCACGAGGCATTGCGCAGAGAACTTGCTCAGAGAAACTTGCTCAGAGAGGCTTGCTCAGAGAGGCTTGCTCGGAGGACTTGCTCATTGAACTTGGTCAGAGGAATTGCTTAGAGACCTTGCTGGGAGAAACTTGCTTAGAGAACTTGTTCTAAGTTAAGAGCTATGCTCTTTCAGGCAGGGGTCGGGAACGTACGCGCTGCTCGGGAATGCCCTCAAGCCTTGTGCGCAATGCAACTTGTTCGGGCACTGTGGGGCACTTCGCTTCACGTGGATCCCGCGCGTCGGACGCGTGAACGCGTAGTACGCGCTTTGTTCTTTCGATTTTGGCTGTGCCCCTGAAACTCGAATGCCCCTTGGTCCGCGCATCGCTACAAACAGTAAGGTGCCGAAAAGGCGACGCGAGGTCGCGCCGGCATCGCAATGCGTAATTTCCATGCCGGAAAGCGGCGCCGGCTCACACATTGTAATTTCCATGTGCGAAAGTAGTGCGCAACGTACATGTTCGTGGGGCGGCGCGCTGAAGATCGCACATAAGTACAAAGTTAGTATGCAAAGTACTTGTCTAGAGGTATGGCTCAAAAATGGCAAGCTTCAAGTAAAACAAGTATGTCACAGGGCGCGTCATCAGATTGCTCCTTTGCTCAGCATGGCCGCAATCTCCGGAAGATGCCAAAGTTTGGCACTCGGCTGCGCCGTTTTTCTCAGAGAGCCAGGCACCACGAAGGAACCAGACGTGCATGAGGCTTTCAGCTGCAAAAGCTCGGGGGGGCCACAAAAGATTCAACCGAATCGCGTATCTTGCGCTGGCCTACGTAGAGGACTCGCGCGCTTCGAGAGCTTGCTGCGAGAACTTGCCCAAGCAACTTTCTCAGAGAACTCAGGGAACGTTGCTCAGGACATTTTTGCTCAGAGAGCTTGATGGCATAACTTGCACCTGCCTTTCTCCTGCCTTGGCTTTTTGATAGCTTCGAGCAATGTTTCAGGGGCACCACCAAGCAAGTTCACTAGGGACAAAGGTTTGCAGCTTTGGAGCTGAGCCTAGAAGTTACGTTTTTTCACGGAGTCCCACCCCAAAAAACTGGATGGCGTCCCTTCCCTTGCCCTTCAAACAAAAGGTCGGCGCAGAGAGCGCGCTGCATGCTTTGCAATGTCTGCGGAGCGAAGAACAGGATGTCCTGCAAAGCATCGGGCTTTGGCAGCAGATGACAAGACAGTCTCTCAATGACTGCGTTTTCGTGGGGCGCTTCGAACAGTTCTGGTCACATACAACAAGGAGAGAAGATTTGCAATGCGCACTCCGAGGGAATCCACGGAAACAAAACTCAACCTGGCGCCAGAAAGGAAGCACTTCAACTGATGCACTGTCCCACTTATGATTCATGCAAAGAAGCAGGCTTAGATCAAGATGTTGAATTGTTGGACTGTTGGATTGGTTCTTGCTCATTCGGGCTGCAGGGTGGCAGTATCAAGGGGGGTCATCGCTGCGGGGCAACTCATGCGCATGTAGAAACTTGTTGGTTTCCTTCTGATTTCCCATGCTCTCCAAAAGGCTTAAAGGGGCCCCGCCTCCCGTCCTCCTGTGGCCTTCCCTCTCGCAACCTCGGCCCATGCGCCCAGATCCACCTGGATGAAGCTGATGCCAAGGAGCAGCATCAGAGTGGGCACCCAGAGGCGTGCGCAGGGATGTCAGGTGTCCTTTCAGGTCAGACTGGTCGAGCATGGATGTTGTCCGCTGGCTTTGGCTTGGTCAACCTGCCCATTTTAGAGGCATCTCCTTTGGAGTTTGGACTTTTTTGGGGGTCCCTATCCATTTGCAAGGGGAGGCATGTCAAAATTTGGCAGATGGCGCAATGAGACAAGCAACAGAAAACACATGCGTATGACACATGCACATGTATCGGACAGTACGTGTACGAGGTGTTGTCATTCCCACATTGGGGGCCACCTCGTTTGTCCTTCTTTTCGAGCGCAGCCATCAGTGACATCGACCGCAGAATCACCCCGACCTAGCCAAGATTCGCTAGAATAAATAGAAGACAGAGGGACAAATACTGCTGTATGCCTGCCTTATCAGGTATTTTGGCGGCCTGTTTTCCCATCGGGGACACCCCATTCAGAATGTATCTCCCCGACAGGTTGGGATCAGCAACACTCCTGCTGGTTGACAGATGGGTTCGGGTTCCGAGCATGTGCCAGGCAATGCGAGTGAGGCAGCCGCCTCGCTTGGCTGCCGTTTGCAGCGTTTCCGCGCAATTCCTTGGAGCCGGCTGAAAAGATCATCTTTCCCAAATGATCATGTGGGTGTCCACCTCAGGCTGCTCGGGCGGCTTCATGGAAAAACATCAAGCCCTCCGGTGGCAAGGGTGACAACTTAGCCGAAGTTGAGTCGTTGCAATATGTTTTTGTCTTCTGAAGCCATCTTTAGGAAGAGTCCTTGGTTCCCAGCCAATCTGACCGCTTGTCACAAACACCTCCATTGCCAGGTCACACACCACCATGTCCTTGGCGAGCCAGAAGTCCATTGCAGCTTCCTCAGATCGGGGTGAAGCACGTCGTTCAGGGACCCACTTTGGAGCCGGGGCTGCATTTGCTAGTTTGACCGAAACTCCTATACTTCCAGTTGCGGGACCAAGCCGTTTGAGAGATCCTCTTCAGGCTTCAAAGAACGGTCGCTTGATGCCGTTTTTGCCACAGGCCTACAATCCAGCAGCATGGGTACGGTACACGGGTCCCGGATGTGTTGCAGGCAGCTACGCTAAGCCATATCGACCAATTCCATTTGGCGTCTGACCCACTGGCATGGAACCTGACTGTGTCATGGAAGACGCTTTGGTGGGTTCCATGAAGGAGGGCAGCATCCTGCTTTCCTGGTTGTGGAGGGGCTATGGTGGCTTTGAGTCTCGGCTTAAATCGTTCACCTTTTAATCGGCTGCCCCTTTCATGCATATCCCATCCGCAAAGAAAAATGCCGTCCAATTCTTAGATTGGGAGAGAAGGAAAGTGTGAGGACAGTATGCGCCTTTCCTTCTCCCATCTCTTTCTCTCATCACCTCGTTCTTCATCAATGTTGAATCAGATGTGAGGTGAGGAATAGAGATGAAAGAGATGCCATGTCCTCCTAGCACGTGGGCGGCCCACCCATTTCCCGGAAATGATCGAAATGTGTGCGAACAGGGGCCCTCCCCTCACCTTGGTTGAATTGATGGCGCCTTTTTGGGGCAACGTTTGGGTAATGCAGGAACCCCTCCAAATGCACCGCCACTCTCGACGCAGGTAGATATCATCACAGACTTCTTCCAGCACAAGCCGAACTTGACCGGAGAGTGGGCGGCGACCTGAGATTGATTCGGCAAGCGGGGAGCCAGAAGATGTTTTCGTTTTCACCCCCCCCCGTAGTACGTGCTAGGTACATATGACATACTTAGCATATGTTATATTGTATTCATTTCTGGAGATATGGAAATGTATATACATATATATATATATATGCTCACCCCCCCTGAATCTTTGTAGTATATTTGTGTAGCCAAAAAGCTAAACACCTATGTGGGGACTTATAAAATTCAAGTTGAATGGCAGTTCACTTTGGGAAACATATTTGGAATGGAATTCCTACTTAAGTTCTAAATCGATATATATATATATATATATGTATGTCACGCACTGTTGGCATCTCCCAAACCCCCGTGTAGTTCATATGTTTTTTTGTGCCATGATTTTTTGACGTTCCCCAAGGCCACAAGAGGATGATATCACCTGCACAGACCGGCGCCCAAGGTTTGCATCGAAACTTGGGGCCTCGATGACTTCCTCAAGGCCAGGTCGGTGTCAAGACAGGTGATTCTGGCAAAACAAGCACGTGGCACCGTGGCGCGGCTATGTTCTTATGGCACGGCTATGTGCTTATGGCATGCTTTGTGTGGTTTCAACCGGGAAGGGGGGGGGAGGGCGAGGATGGAAGTTGTGTTGCTTTGCCGGACTCTCAATGAATGATCACTTCTCGAGTGGAAGTGCGAATTGTACTTGCGTTGTTTGCCATCCCTTTGAATGGTGACATGTGATATGAACGGAGTTTATCGCTGTCAGTATGGACATGTGCGATTTGATGTAATCTTGCCACTGCTACTTGCATCAAGGACCATCAAGAACATAGATGATGAAGGGGCCTGTGTCTCCATGATTGGTGTTCCTTGTGAATTTCAACTTCTATAGAGTGCCCCGCGGTTGACTGCTTTGCCTTTGGCAAATGGCGGCTTGCCTGAAGAATAGCTGCTGTGCAGTTGCTAAGCCGTGTCTTTGCTTGTTTGGAAGGCCCTGTGCCTTCCCCCAGCTGGCAAACAGGGACCCAACTCCCCCACAGGATGTCCCTTTGAGCCCAACACCAGGGACTTTGATTGCAAACGAACATCCCAAAAGAGGGGTCCTGGCCCAAGAGGAGGTGCGGTTCATAATTGTGGTTTGTGGGCTATTTGAGGCCTTGCGAAGGGTTCAATTGGTATTGCATGTGAATCTGCATGGGAGTTGCGGTGCTGATAGGAGATGGGCATCTCCTACATGAAGCGTGGCGCGCTTAAGTTCAGGGCACTGTGACGTGGGCTTTGTTGTCAAGGTTTCTCAGTGTCCCCTCCCGTTTTGGAGATGCATGTTGACCCCTTACCTCATAGAGTTTTAGGCAGTACCTGTACGTGTGCTGGAATGTTTGTCAGGTAGGGTTCTTTGTTTTCAGGTGATTTGGTACAGCGCGTGATCAATGATGCCCTGCGGAATGTGGTTTTCCGCCTGGAAAAGGTATTTTGTTGCATGTGGGGTTTTGGCGGATTGGAAGTCCTTTGCAGCCGCGCCCCCTAGTTTTCACCCATACTTTGAACCTTTTTGGGCATATCCTGACGGCTCAGATGGGTCGGTTGGGTATCCAAAAGCTGGAAACGACACGCACTGAGGTTTGGCGGCGACCAAAGCGCCGTGGCCCAGCTGGGAGTTCAAGCAGGACGCGAAACCGATTGACAAACCGCCGGGGCTGGGCCGAAGACGTGCCACCAGGGGACATGGGATACTGGCAAGGGTTGCTTCATTTGGAGACAGACCCGCATACCTGATTGTTGGAAAGCTATAAGCTACAGCCGTCTTTGTGAGGCCTGTCCAGGTTCATGATTAATGGAATGGGTGTGTTTAATCATAATTTAGTCACTATATACAAATCCTCAGTCCCTTTTCCACATTTCCATTACAGGACCTCTTCTTCCAGTTTCGCTGGAGCCTGCCAGCAAGGGCCAACCTTTCACAGGCGCTCAGTTTTTGGTTTCAGATCGGGGTGAACTCAAAGTAGTGCCAACGAAGGTCCATGTTGGGCGCGGGTGTCTGATCTTTTTACGTCTAGTGCCCCGCTAAGGACCTTAAGGCCAGAGAACATACCATTGCGATTTAGACCCCTGGTGGTTCTCGCTGAAATCACACCACGACAAAATGCACAACCGACCCTGAAACAACATGGAGTTTGCGGGTCGATCATGACAAGGAAAGGGATGGTCAAGGACTTCTCACGCGCCGACAAAGAGATGGAAGATAGAGAAGTAACTTGTAAATGAAGGATGGATGATAGCGAGATAAATGGCTTGAGGACGAAGAAAACCATCCAGTCATCCATCTCCTTCCCTCCCTTTCACCGTTGCATCTAGGATGTGATTGAGGTGAGAAAGGGATAAGGAAGAAGTCAAGCCTCACTCCTGTCAGTCCTGTGTCTCAGAGAATAAAGGCTTGGAGGTGTAAGGAAAGGGACCATGAAGTCCAGCTTCAGCGGTAAGACTATCGAAAAGACGAGTCGTATCCAGACCGGGCGTCAACAGTGCTTAGGTTTCTAGCACCCATTATATGGTTAATTTTCCTATCCAAGAGACGTCTACCGGAGAAAAAATAACTCAATCATATGCTTGCGTATGTGTGAGTCTCTGTGAGCGGGATGTCCTTCCTCCGTCCAGTCCAGAATCAGCGAAAGGAAAGGATAGGACATTCTCATTTTATCAGGACTCACCGCTTGACAGTGTATATCCTGGAGATTTCCTGAAGACAGCTTGCGAGGGTAAATCCAGATTCTTTATTGTTGGGTTTCTGAAATTCCCCTCACTAGACTCACGATGGAACGGCCTAAAGGGAAAGGAAACAGCCAACAAACAAGAATTAAGATGAGGACGTAAAGGAACGGGAAAGACAAAAAAGGATGAAGAAGAAGTAAGTAATAAAGGAATAATATAGAAAGATAGTAGCTAGATAAAATAATCTTACAGATGAAGACATAAACATCAGTGATGGACACGATGTTGACAGAGAAGCTTCTATGGCTATCATTTCCCTCATCATGTCATCCATCCCTTGCCTCCATTCTCCCACCACCTTCTTTCTCTTGTCCATCCGGTGGCTCCAGAATTACAGATAAGAAAGGAATGGGTGATGAAGGGCCCAGGAAAGCCAATCATTGTCAATCTAGACTTGTATAATTTCATGTTTTACTGTTTTATTGCAATGGTGTTTGTTCACTAGTTGAGAATTGTAATCATAAAGGAATATGAATCTATTTTATATTCTCCGGATACATCGTTGGATTCTCCGGTGCGTGAGTATCAGTCCTTATGAGAATAGAGTAATATTCATCAGGACATGGGATTATACCTCCAGAAAACCAGAACTTCAGAGGACTTAGAAATTATTTGCACCATTTGTTCAAGGATCTGCAGAAGAGGTGTATCCCAGATGCCGTCTCACTGCCTGATGATTTAGGGATTGCCAACTCCTTCATGGGAGTTGGGTTTCAGGCCGAACAGGTTTTTACATAAAATGGTCCAAGCGTGCGTGAAGTGTTGTGACCATGGCGGAACGGGGCCCAACAAATGAAGCCAACAGCCCAAAAAAAGGCCGCCTACAGGTCTGGAGTTGACTTCCGGGAAGGAAGGGGTCAGGAGGCGAAATGTGGCAATGTGTGCCATGTTTCTTACTCGTGGGCCGCAGCTTTGTGTTGTGGTTTGTGCCTTCTTTCAGGGCCTTCAAATGAAACTGCCTCATGCGAAGGGGTTATCAGATGGGGTTGCAAGAAGTGCTGGGCAGGCCGAACCAACAAGCAAAAATTGTGGCCAGTAGCTGTTTTTGAGATGGTGCAGCGGCGTAGAAACTCAGGTTAGCAGCATATGGGCAAGGATCCAAGTGGCCGTTCGCGACAAAGGTGCAGAGGTTCTACGAAAGGCTTTCCCAGGAGGTCTCTCAATCCCCAGAAATGGGCAAATGCCCGGCTTACGATACCATGCTTTACTATTCTTGACATGTCATCTCGTGTTTGTGGAGCTCAGTTTCCGTGGGGCTGCCCAAAAGACGCAACATCACTTTGTGGTAGCATGCCCAGGGTTGGGGACGTTTTGTGTCCTGGGAACTGCTTGGCATGTCATCCCCCTCAGAAGGCCCAACACGGTTGTCACGCTGCCGCGCAGGACAAGGATCAAATTAACTTCTGCAACTTGGCTCGGAGTTGGGCGGCTTGAGGGGTGGTTGTCTCCGGTGCTCGCTTGTCCGGAGCGAGCAGGGTTTGTCACTTTTTGGTTTCCAGAGTTTGGCTCAGGTTGAGTAAGTCATGGGCGCAACAGGTTGGCGCTAAGTAGATGTTTCTCTGAAAAATGTGGCTTGTTGGGTTCAATGTCTTGGGGATCAATTCCGGATTCGGACACTAAAGCAAATTCTGCAACTACGATTCAGACACAAAGGTTCGGAAACATACGGTTCAGAAACTAAGAATCCCGGATTCAGAAACTAAGACGATCGATTTTGAAACTTCAAATCCCGGATTCAGACACTACACCGGGTGGGCTTCGGGTTGGTTTAGGGTTGGCTTCGAGTGGGTCGAGGGTCGGGCTTAGGGGGTCAAGGGTTGGTCTACTTTTGGGTTTTGGGTTGGTTTAGGGCTGGTGTAGGTTTGGTTGAGGGTTGGTGTAGGATCGTTGTAGGGTTCGCTTAGGGTGCTGTATTGTTGGTTCAGGTTGGTAGAGTCTTGGTAAAGGCATTGGGCTACTTTAGTCGTTTTTTGGTCAGCTCAGGGTTGGTTTAGGGCTGGTTTAGGGTTGGGTTAGGGTTGGTTTCGGGTTGGTTTGGCGTTGGTTTAGGGTTGGTTTAGGGGGCTTAGGGTTGGTTGGGTTTAGGGTCGGTTTAGGGTTTGTTGAGGGTTGGTTTAGGATTGGTTCGGGGTTCGTTTAGGGCGTTGTATTGTTGGTTTTGGGTTGGTTTAGGGCTGGTTTAGGGCTGGTTTGGGGTTGGTGTGGGGTTGGTTCAGTGTCGGGCTTTCGGTTGGTTTGGGTGTTGGTGTTTGTGGTTTGGTTTGGGGTCGGTTTCCAGTTGGCTTAGGGTTGCTTTCTTTTCTTTGTAAATCAAAAACTCACTAAAAAGGAGAGTCTGTCTCGAATCCTGGTTTTCCGGCTATATAGCCTTCAAACCGCCAGGTTTTGTTTGAGAACCCGAGAAAAAAAAGAAAATACATTATTCCATACAAAACCCGTAATTAACCCGCAAGAACCCGTAATCTGATACACAGTGTCCGAAAATCAGGGTTTGGATTCGAAACGATGTTATTTGCCAGAATCTATGTTTCCGGGTTTTCCATGTTCCAGGCTGGGGTACTTTATGGTTGGTGTAGGGTTGGTTTATGTTTGGTTTAGAGTTGGTCTAGGATTTAGGGTTGGTTTAGGGTTGGTTTAGGGTTGGTTTCGATTGGTTTCCGGTTGGCTTAGGGTTGGTTTAGTTGCCCCGATTTGCGGCTGAGATGTTGTGCTACATACCTTTTCCTTCGTGTGTAGCGCACATAATTACCTTTGTAATTAATTCGTTTTGGTTGTGCATGCGTCATGTTGAGTGCCGGTTTCCTTGGCCCGGCACGGCGGAAAAAAACACGTTCCACTGCGGCCGCTCCTGAATCCCCTGGCAAACCGCCCCACAAAAGCTCCAAACCCTATCGCTTTTGCCAGTTTTGAGCATGACGCACCCCACCCGCTTGAAGTACAAGCAGCTCCCTCGTGGATTTTCGACATGGCAACATGATGACAACGCCAACGGCGTGGGAGGTCATTCAACGCCAGAACATAGTTTTCGCATTCGGGCGCGTGGCTTTGCTTGGTCCCTGTGTGACGTTACGCAGCAGCGTTGCTTTTGACACCGTGGCGCACGTCCTGCGCGCCAGCCTCCCGGCCGTTGAAGGCAACCACACCATGCTGGGTGACATCAAGGAGGAGCGCCTTGGCAAAAGCTCAGGCAAGATGCGTATGTCGCGTGGGTTTTGGTATCGACCCCTTTCAACAAATCACTGGGCGCTCAGGTTTGCCTGGCCATCCTTGCTCTAGTCATGCCATTACTATCAGTTTGAGCTGGCCGTGGACGGGAGTGGCAAAGTTGTGCATGTGGCAAGGCGAGGGATATGTCCAGGTCCATCCACAAATAGACGCGGCTTGTAACTCCCTATGTACCTAGTCTTGCGGAATCAAAGGCACCAAGGCAGCCTTATCAAAACAACGGATGGGCATGCCCACAATGCCGCTGCTGGACTTGGCGTGCTTTATTTGGCAACATGCATTGATGCTGCAGGTTGGCCTTCGGCATACACAAGGCGAATGGAATTCTGTCATTTGTTTCCCCCGTAAGGCAGGGGTCCCCGAGGTTCGTAGCAGACGGTGGTTCCTACCAGATGATTGACGGTCACAAGCAGACGTTGAACTGCACGGCGTTTTGGGAGGCGCACGCGGGGCCGGGGCGCAGGGCGCTGTTGAGTTTGAGCGAAGCCATGGGTCAGGACTTGCCAAAGGCAAATAGGTTTGCGCGGAGGATACCCTTTATGAGCTGGCCAAACGTTCAAACATATCGCAAGAAGCTAGTCACCCTTGAAAAAAGCAATCCTGAAATTACGAAGGGAGTTTGCGTTGGCAGAAGCAATTTAATTTGCGTGACTATCAATTATTATTATTATTATTATTATTTTATTTTATTTTTTTTTTTTTGGGGGGGGGCAGTTTTTATGAACCGAGTCATCCGCGCAGTCAGCTTTAGTTTGGAAACTTGCCCGGGTGATAAGAGCTAGTACCTCATCTTGAATGCCGAGGCCGGCGAACTTTTAATGCATTATTGCACGCGTATGCCAGGTGTTTACGCAGTGTCTAGGTTTCCCAGCTGTGCATGGGCGGTTCTCTCCGACCAATGTCCGATTCTGAGAACCATTTCTTCGACCCAGATTCTTATGAACTCCCATGTAGTGGGGTGACGTTTAAAGATCCAGTTTCCAGCATTGGGACACGTTGCGCGGCTTCTAGCGCCTGATGTCTTTTAAGATGCAGATGCCAAAGAAACACAAGGGGCGGTAGCCGCCCAACATGAGGGTAGGGGGCGGGTAGGCGTCGCAACCAGCCCCCCATGCCTTGCCAGGGTGCCACGCTGGTGATCGAGCGGGCAGGGCCACAAGGGCGTTTCCGCGAGGACTTTTCTTTGCTGCTCGAGTTGTGTTGGGCCCCAAGAAAGCGGCCGTCCCATCCTTTCATCCTTCTGTAATTGTTTGCGTCTCTTCAATTCCGAGTTTGGGGTAGGGGGCTTTTTGAATTCCATGTTCAATTGCTGTCTGTTTCGTAATTTTATGTTCAATGCCTCGCGTGTGAGCCTTTGAAGACATTTGAGTGGCGAATGTGCGAAACGCCCAGCAAGGCTGTTTCCCGAAGCAAGCCCACTTTGCTTAAATACAAGAGTAGTAGGCTCGCCCCGCAAAGACGTGACACGGCGTGACCGTGGCGAGACTTTAAGTCTTCTCTGAGCAAGTGTCTCTACGCTCGATTGTAATTTTCGAGCTGGAGCTGAACGAGCGCGCAATCCACGAGACAATGTTCCAGACTCATCGACCATCGCCAGAACGCAGCAAACCGCCCCGGTTTTCACACATCGACTTCCTTAATCCCTGCAAAGGACCGCGCGCGCAAACCAAACAAATGCAAGGCAAGACACCCAGGGTTTTCGCGCATCGACCACGGTGTCCGCAGAGGACTGCGCAGGAAGTGCAGAAAGTTGCTACCTGCGGCTTGTGCGTTTTGACCCTGCCAACGCCGGCAGAGGGTCGCGTGGGAATCTTACAAAGTTACATCGACCACGCTCCAAAAGGCTGTGAGGGAAGCGAGCAAAAGTTGCAAACAACTCTAACAACTTTGGGAGCTGGTTTCTGCAATCGTTAGCGTCTGCCAAGCGCAGTTGTGAGCCCAGCATGGCCAGCGTTTCGCCTTCCTCCAGCAGGATCAGTTTATTGGTGGCGCCCCTGATTGCGAAACCGGTGTTTTTTTTACTAGCTCGGGCTCGGGGCTTAAACCCGGCTAGGAGGCTGGTTGGCTGGTTGGCTGGTTGGCTGGTTGGCTGGTTGGTTGGTTGGGTGGTTGGTTGGTTGGTCGGTCGGGCATGACTTGACGGTAGTTGACAGTTGCTCGGGCTAACCGGCCGCATCGCCAGCATTACACTGGCCTCACTCGGACTAGAGCTGCCTGTTGGCTTTGATTTGGTGGCAGTTCAGGGTTGCTCGGGGCTGGTTTGGGGTGAGTGTTGGGCTTGCTGAGGTCTTAATGAGGGCGGATCTTGGGTTTGTTTGGAGTTCATTTCGGATCAGCAAAGGGCTGATATGCAGGATGCGGTTGGGAGGGTTTAAGGCTGACTTTGGGTCGGTTTTGGCTTGGTTGGTGCTGATTTGTGCAAGGTGCGCGGCTGGTTTAGCCGTGGCTTTCGGGTTGCTTCAGGGATATGGTTGCCCAAAACTTGCACAACCATATCCCTGAAGCAACACGAAAGCCACGGCTAAACCAGCCGCGCACCTTGCACAAATCAGCACCAACCAAGCCAAAACCGACCCAAAGTCAGCCTTAAACCCTCCCAACCGCATCCTGCATATCAGCCCTTTCCTGATCCTAAATGAACCCCAAACAAACCCAAGATCCGCCCTCATTAAGACCTCAGCAAGCCCAACACTCACCCCAAACCAGCCCCGAGCAACCCTGAACTGCCACCAAATCAAAGCCAATAGGCAGCTCTAGTCCGAGACCGCTGGTGATGTGGCCGGCTGGCCGTTCTATACGCACTATACACCATGAGCCAGCATCGCAGACACGCTTTTTGCTTGTGCCTTCCTCCTCGCAAGGTTGGGGGTCGGCTTCATGTCACCCTCCTTCTGCTGGCAGTGGCCATTCGAATTCCTACTGGGCAGTGATCTTTGTCCGCGTGATTCCCTCGCACAGGCGGGGTTCTTTCTTCGGAAGTTGCGTACCGCGGCGTTCAGCTTTGTTGCAGAGGGCCGAGTTTTTTGTGCCGGGGGTGTGGTGTCGCGTGGATTGATTGCTGGCACTTCATGCTTAACTTTGTGATGCTTTGTTGCACTGCGCAAGGAGGATGGATACCTTTTTGCCTTTTTGCCTGTGACTCTCGCATTGCACAGTGCGGCCTCATTGGATTTGTTGTGGCTGGGCCGCCGCATGCGTGCCTGCGTCGTTTAATTTGTGACTCTGTCTTACATGATGTGAGATTGCGGCGCTCTAAATCCGCTCGTCTTGGACCTAGCGGCCGGGGTGCCACTTTGGCGTGCCCGCATCGGTCTCACGAGACCCCGGCCTTCGAGCAAGATGAAGGTCCTTTAAGCTGTCCGCTGACGGTCGCACGCAGCCCCTTTGGCTGGGCGAGCTGCCCGGTGTCAACGGCGAGCTGCCCGGTGTCAACGGCGAGCTGCCCGGTGTCAACGGCGATGTCTTTCTGCCAGGGCTGATTATGCCCTTCGGATCCCCTCCTCCGAAATTGAGCTTGTTGCGCGGCGTGCTCCGTTTGGGTGACTGTTTGCCTTTTCTTGGAAAAAATCCCTGAGATAGCGCTTTGCTTTGGCGTTTCGCGAACCCAGAGCCGCGCTTTTGTCTTGCGTGTCTTGCGTGTCTGGTGTTCTCGCTATCCCCGGCGTTCGTCCGCTACCTGGCTCCTCCCGCTGTTGTCTTGGCTGTGGGATGCACAGGCCCACTTGCCCCTGGCCCCTGTTTATGCCTTTAAGCTGGTCTGCTTAGTTAGCGCGGACCTCCGGAGTCAGTTCAGAAACGTTCAGCAGCAATGGGGAGCGGGGCATAGCGTGGAGGTGTTCTACATTCCCGGACCTACAGACACCCGTCGGGTGGTGATCAACCATCTGCAGGGCAATCGCGCTTGGGGGCACTTCTCTGGACATTGCTTGAGCGCAGCCAAAGGTTCAACAAGTGGCTTGCGTGTGCGGGATGTCGGGGCTGCAAGTTGTTTGGCCCGTGGCCTCGCGGACCACTTGCCAGCACTCAAGAAATGAAGGGTCCTTTAGTTGAGGTTTCTTTTTGTCTAGTTTGGGAAAGTGGAAATCGTTGAGATCGCCGCTCCCACAGGAGCGCCAGATAGACGCGAACGGCGTACTGAACTTCACGCTGAAGGCACGCGCACTCGCCAGTTTGGGCCTTTGCCGCGCGCGCGCGCGCGCGCGCGCGTTTAGGGAGGTCGCTGGGTTGCACTCTTGGCTCTGTCCAAAGCAATTCGATGTTGAATCTTTTGGTTTTCGTGTTTGGCTCATTCCCAGTCAAGGTCTCAAAAGAGTGACCTTTAATCTTTTGGGCAAGGGTGTTTGACGATTCTCCCTGCAAAAGGCGCTGCCTGATGGCCCCCAACTTGTTTCGTTGTCTAGGCCTTGGATGAAAAATGGGCTCACACGAAGAAGTTAGAGAGATGAAGAGAGATTCTACGCTCTTTGCGGTGTTCAACAGAAACGGGCAACCACCTGCAGTTTCCGTGGGCCAAACTTGTGGGTGGGCCCTGTTTTGCCGTTGCAAGCGTCTGACCGATATATCCAGTTGCGCTTTCTGTCTGGCTCCCCGGCTTGTGGGGACCTCGAACTTTGTCAGGGCTGTGAGCCGGAGACGAAGGAGTGGGGCGGGGGCCTCATGTCAGGCCCCCTCTGTCTGCGATGAATTCGATGGCCCCATCGGTTTCGATGGCGACTGCTCTTCATCGATAAGAAAGGCTAGCCTCATCAACTTGTCATGACCAAGGTCGCGACACCAGCCCAAGCTCGCATGTTTTGGCGCCAACCCCAATCAATCCTACTTGACCATTTTTGGCGTGAAAAAACACGGTCCCCTCAGCGATAAACCCTGCAGTTATCATTGAGGTGGGCATGGACATGTGACATCCCCCTACCTCAAGATCCCATCAACTCATTTTCCAGCCTGGCGCACAGGAAAATGCAGCCCCACATGAAATGGAAAGGGGTCACCCGCGTCCCGTGTAACTGAATAAATAAAAGGATTGCTGGTTGGGCCAAACAAATCAGCTGTTGAGGAAGACTAAAAGTGGAACATCTAGTTTGCGGGGATTCGGCTTGGTCTCGGCTTGGTCTCGGCTTGGTCACCTTTGACAACATTCTCAACCATTCAACTCAGGACGTTGTGTCTAGGGCCCGCCACCTTTCCGGCTCCCGAGGCAGGAAGTTCAAGAGGAAGGGCTGAGTGGGATCCGGCTTTTCTCCCACTGAGGGCAGCTTCACCTAATCTCACTACATGTGATTGGCCTGAGACAAGCGCCAGGTCAATGACAGGTAGGGCTCTCGGAAAAGCTAGTTGGCCGGCTCGGCAGCTCAAAACGCACTGGATATTTGTTTCATATCCGGGGTCCGGCGGTTCTAGAAAGGCTGGTTTGTATTAGCTCCCCCGCCAGCTAGTCATTGAAAGGTCAAGGTGAACCTTTGCCTTCATTCATCCCATGGGCCCATCCCCCCCTTGTATGCCCTGGCCGGTCGAGGTCCTTTGGGCAGCATACCAGTTGCCCGATTTAGCAAGCGTCGCAAGCATCGCAAGCGGCGCAAGCGGCGCAAGATGTAAAGTCCACCAGAAGTGTGGCGGCGTCTCACCATCTGACATCTTTTTCCTTGGGCCCTCCCTGCTCCTTTGCTTACTAGGGCGAAGCGGTGAAGGAGGGAGACTTGGCCGATCAGCACACCCAAGAAACCCTCCGAATCAAAGATCCTGCAGGGAGGCCTATGGATTCCAGACATGGCAGGCCGTCCGTGGCTTAAAAGGTGGCACCAAGGGGATCTGCAAATCGGTGGCCCCACCAAACCGCCAAACCCAACCACCAGTTAGGCGTAAGGTCGCAACAGCCACAGCCATGAGGCGATCCTGCGTCGGGAGATTTCCTGGGAGGTGCCGGGCTACTCCTTGGCCTTATCATGCTTGAGAACATGTTTGGGGGGAGGGGGGGCGGGTTCTGAAAATTAAGTCGAGCCACTTTCAACGACCCAGCAGGCCCGCTTACTAGGAAGATTCTGCGAGCTGGGCAGCTATGAAACTCTCGAATCCTAATGCGTTTTCACACATAAAGCTGCGGCTCTGAATGCGCGGGATCCGGCAAAATTGAAACACACCCATCCCAGGGTCAAACGTTTTGTTTCAGACAAATCACGAATTAGCCGGGCGAGTTGGCACCCAATACAACGAGCCGTGGTTGGATCCTTCCGTTGTCCCGTTTGGTTGTCACAACGGCCCTCACCGGCCGCTTTGTTCAGGAAGAGCTCTCTGAAGCGTCGGCGTCTTTCTCGGGAAATGTGCGAGGAAATGGCCCAGCTGTGTCTCCATCGCCCCCAAAATGGCGCGGAACTGGCACTGGGAGGCTCTAGGTGTCCTGCGCTCCGAGGGACATTTCAGCGTCAAAGGCCGCATCCGCGGTGGGCCTGGCGCGCGGCCATGAAGCCGTGGCCATATGTGACTGCAGCGTTGGCGCTGGGATTGGCGCTGGTGGGATATGGCGTTTGGATGGTGCAGGACGCAGCTGGAAGTCCTGAATGGTTGTGTCTTCAAATAGGGAAGCCCCCTAGAAGAGGTGGGTTTTCCGAAAGAATCTTAACCTGGTACCCTTACGAAAAGGAGACAACCGAATCAACCTTCAGGAGGGGCTTTGCAGAAAAGGAGCCTTGCGAAAATCATGCTTCAAGCTCAGGCCCAGTTGGCCCCTGCTGCCTAAAGAGAAGGAACCTTTTCCTCCCAAGCTGGACACAGCTCATCAAAAGTCTTGATGGAGTCGGTTTATTTGAGAACCTGGGGCATGCTGGGGAGATCTGTCAGGTGTGGTCGCAGCGCAGCGCCAACAAGATGCATGATTGACCCTGGGGCAAACGGGGGCATTCGCCTTGGAAGTCCGGGTTCAAGATGATCCCAGGTCAACGCGTTGGTATTTGCAGAGTAGGGGAACGTTCTGCTCGTATGGTGAATTCGGGGACTACAGGTACGGACCATTGTCAATGACTCTCATGACGCTTTGGGGCTGGGAGCCTGGTAGCCCACAATTGTGCCTTCCCAAAATGACACCAAAAGGAACACCACAAGGGGATGGGCCATTGCTTCTTGGTCTAAGAACAAAATGTTGCCACCCCAGCCCTTGTCGGCCAGAAGCCGTTAAACCCAGTTGTTCAGTAGGACCCGCAGAAACTATTGTTGCTTGCTGGGTTCCCCACAAGCATGTTTTCGACCAAGTCACCGGTTGTAACTGGGAAACGCAGGTCCAAGCGTGAGTGCGTTCAGAACCAGTGTTCTTGCAGACTTTGCCTTCGTCATCTAACTCCATCAGTCTTCTTGATCATCTAATCCGGCCTTGTGGCACATCTGAATCCACCACATCCTCGGTTGCCCAGTGGCACCCTTTATCAATCTTGTTTTTGGGCGGACGTCTCGTTTTGCCACTGGACAGTTGGACCTACTTTTCTTGGCGGAGAAAAAAGCATCTCCTTCCGAGGTCTGCTGTAAAGTATCCTCAAAGTCGACTCGGTTATGATTTCTTTTTGGTGGTGAGGTCTGCTGTAGAAGCGAGGTGTTTAACTGAAGCCGCCAATTCATTTGATTTCTCAGGGAGAAGCCCAAGTTGACCATTCCGTTCAGCGAGCTCTTCAGGGGGTTTTCGGGAACATCGCGCCAAGCAAGGCTCATGTCAAGTTTTGGCCGAACAAGCAAAGAAAGGACCCTACAAAAGGTGTTTGTTTACAGACACTCAGCTGTTCAGTGGGTTTCACCCTCCACATCCCTTTTTGTTTGCTCGGTTCCCCGCAAAAGAGGTTGCAGGAGTCCTTTCAAATGGCAACACACCTCCACTAACCAACCACCCAGTTGTTCAGTGGCAAAATGGTCAACCCCAAAAAGGTTTCCTGTTCCATTGCGGCCACCAACGTGGGCAACAACGAAATCCAAATCAAAGTTTGGAGCATCCCTTGAACCAACCGGGGCCCTATCGAACTCGTTCGCGAGCCCTGTCAGGAGCTGCGGCAGGAGCTGGAGATCTCCCAGATGCGGCAGTCGGCCTTGGAGGCCCGCCTGCTGGCACTGGAAAGGACCTAGGGGCAGTTTTTGGGGGGAGGGCAAGGGGGGGCATGTGGGGGAGCCGGTCGAGGAGAGCATGGGCAAGGCATGGGAGGCCCTCCAATAACGACAAGAAAACACTTTTTTTCGACCGCAGTTACATGCAGGGTTGTTTTGTTTGGGAAAGCCCCCCCCAACTGGGGAGGCGTTTCCTTTGGCTTCCGCATGAGAACATCTATACCCAGCATACTCTGCACACTGCACACTGAACACTTCGTCGCCCAGAGGAGCGCCGCGAAACCAGAGCCGCGCAGCACAGCTTTGTGGAAGGCCGCGAAGGCACCGGCTGCTACCGTAGAGCCGGCGCCGGCGCCAGCGGCGCCAGCGGTGCGGCGCCTGAGCGACCTGGTCTGCATCCGTGGCCGGTTTCTTTAGTGTATGGTCGGGGGTCTTGGCAAAGGCCTCTTTTTCCAGGGCGGGGGAAGAGATGGGGAGAGTGTGGGAGAAGCCCATCTGGACTCAGAACGGACTGGATGGTGGCCCGGTGAAAGTAAGGTGACTGGGAGGCAGGCGACTCGGAGACGAACGCGAAGTGGCTGAAGTACCTGGCTCCGGAGGGACGCTACGAGGCGGATTGGCTATTGGCAGGCGCGGAGCATGATTTCGTTCGCCTTTCCGATGACGAGAAGGTGAAGCACATGGCGCTGCACGGCGAGGCGGAGGAGCATCCGTACCCCCCTCATCTTTGAATACATAACAGGGGGCCCCACATTTGTTTGGCCCAAATTTTCCCAATTGCATGCAGCGCTGTGCTCTGGAGCAAGCTATGGAATGGACATGGTCCATGGTGTCCGTCAAGGAGGCCCACTTTGAGAGCAGTTCTCGTGATTCCCTTGGTGGGTGAATGGGAAAAGAATGGGGGCCCCCATGATTTCAGCTCAGAGTGGGGATTGAGGAGCTCTTCTCCTTCTTAGAAAAGATGGAGGGCAAGGAAAGAGAGCGCTCGAAAGCTCTGGCGCTGGCTTCGGCTGCCTTTGGCGATGTGGTCTTCGGATTTTCCAGCGAGATGCCAGAAGAGATGGACGTCTATACTAGGGTTGCCACTCTCGTCAAGAAGCTCGCCTGTCTAAAGCTGGCCTTTCGCCCCTGTTCCCAGTGCTTGTTCGACTTTCGATCATGGACCCCCGAAACAGGTGTGACCTGTTTGTCTGGTACAAATGTGCACATATGAAATCTAATGCGCTCGTGGGTGCATCTTGTCCGACTGCCCGTTTTGGGCATTTCTCAAGGCAATCAGCTTGGAGGTCTTCCGCGTTTGGAAACACACGCACAGACAAAACAGATGTTCAGTGCTCTGGCTGAGGAAGACCACGAACAAGTTCGACGCCCGCGTGGACATTGTCCGGCAGCTTTTTACTCAGGGCACCCTGCCAGACAACGACTTTCTGAACCATGGCTTTGCCCAAGCAAAGCGGAAGGCAGGGCGCTCAACCTGAGCAAACTTGATTTAAACAACTAGACCTGTGTCACCCTCGAAGAGAAGACAGCAGAAGGCGCTTAAACAATACATGGGGGTGTCTTTTTTCGGGGGACCCCTGGGTTTCTTCATGTTTAAGGCTAGGTTGGCCCGTCCGTGTTTGGTTTGGGGGACGGGGAGGTTCGGGCGGTCCCTTTGGGAACACATTCGAGAAGGGGGGGTCTATGGTGGATGCTTAAGCTTTTGGGTTCACCTTTCCATTGATCATGGAGGGGCCCAACGTCCAAGAGCATGGTGGCTTGGGGCTACGTACTTTCGGCCAAGCTAAAACAGCTCACCTGGGGAGTTTGGGAATCACAATATATATCTATATATATACATTATATATATATATATGTATATACATCCCGGCATATAATTATATTAATATTGTAATTTGTCCAGGCTTTAGCCAGAAATTAGAGAGGGTTGCTTGATGCGGCATGGGATGTTGAGATGTTAGAGGAAGCTGGTCATAAGAATGTCCGAAAGACCTTTGTGGGGGGTTAAACCCTCATTTCCGGCTTATGAATCCAGACTAGGCATATTTCAGAGCCAACATCCCATCACTCCCAGGAGATCGATGTGGAGGAGCCCATGCTTCAGGTGCTTGCCTGGGGTGCACTGAGGAGAGTTCTGCTCAATCCAGTCAACCAGTCTTGCCACCTCATCGGAAGTGAAGACCCCATGCGCCCCGACGGGAAATTCTGTGATGAAGTCCCTACATATTGCACGCATGAATGCGCAGTTTCCCTCTTCCCCCCTTTCCTTCCCCCCTTTCCTTCCCCCCTTCCTTCCTTTCTTCCTTGCTTTCTTCCTTCCTCCCTCCCTCCCTCCCCTCCCCCCCCCCTCCCTCCCTCCCTCCCTCCCTCCCTCCCTCCCTCCCCTCCCTCCCTCCCTCCCTCCCTCCCTCTCCCTCCCTCCCTCCCTCCCTCCCTTCCCTCCCTTCCTTCCTTCCTTCCTTCCTTCCTTCCTTCCTTCCTTCCTTCCTTCCTTCCTTCCTTCCTTCCTTCCTTCCTTCCTTCCTTCCTTCCTTCCTTCCTTCCTTCCTTCCTTCCCTGTTCGTTTGCCCTCCTGTGCCTCACTCTGATTCAGATCTTGTCCCTGTCCACCCACTCCTCTCTGTTCTTTGCCCTGTGTCTCTGCTTGTGCTTCTCCCACTTTCTGCATGCTGCTCTTTCAGCTTCTTTGTCCGCATTCGCCCACTTTTCTCTTTGCCGCGAATCGGCTCTTTTCCCAGCTTGTCTTCACGACCTTTTTGCCCTTCCTCATGCTGGTTTCCTCGTTCTTCTTGTTTCCTTTCTTCCCCGCCATCTTCCTATTCCTCTTGTCTCCACATTTTGCTTGTTGTGCTTTTTGCTCCCTGGCTCCTTTCCTTACTCCGCTTCTCACGCTTCTACTAGTTTCCCCGGCTCTCATCCCACCTTTGTCCCCCTCTGCTTTCTGCCGAGCGAAAGGCTTTCGTTCCTGCTGTCATGTTGGGCCCAGGTACGAGTTCATGGCGGAAGTGTACGAGTTGGTGGAGTCAACTGGTTTGCGGGGTCTGCTGGTGGCGATTGACAACTTGGGGGGCAACGACCATTTGCCGCCGGAACTGAATTTTCTTCCATGGCACGCCGTGCGATACGCCTATGAGCACCCGAAGGCAGCAGAAAGAGAGAGAGAGAGAGAGAGAGAGCGAGAGAGAGGGGGAGAGAGAAACATGTAATATGCGAGAAATTATTGCCTATGGATTTACATAGTACACATAAACATATGTATTTGTGACTGAGACCTGGGGGCATTTCTGACACCCGCGTTACTCCTTTTCTTACCCCTTGAACATCACCGCAGCAAAATAACATCTCCTGGAGTTCCCCCCTCGAAAACAATCGTGGAACCACGCACCCGGGTCTTGGAACACGGTGATGTTGCGAAGGGCTGAAATGAGAATTGCGGCTCAGGGAACAAGCATTCTCAATTTGATAGGTTCCACTACCTGTTTCGTTTTTGCTTTATGGGTCACTGTGGCAACATAGGGGGTGGGGGCTCCAGTTTTGAATTTCCCTGACCAAAGTGAACGAACCACCCCCGAAAAGGCATCTACACAAATACTATCAGCTGTATTTGTGCTGTTGGTAGAGCCAAGCGTTGTATTTTCTTCGCGCTGAGGTCTTGGAAGAGACTACCAGCTCGGGCCTCAC